GTCTACACGTTTAATTGGTGTGAACTTCCGAAACCTGCAGGACTTAACTGGGGCTGTTCAGTCTTAATAAACCTTAAAAACAACCTCTCTGATCACATCTGATATTGTGAAAGTCGAACAAAAACGGCAAAGCAACTCCAGCAAAGACCGACCAAACACATTTTTCTGCCAGTTGACGCTGATCAGCAGCCCACTGTGCAGAACAAAGAGACCACGATCTTGCTAATGCATCACGATATGCAGCCAAAAACCTTACAGTGGCAAGTTTGCATGGAACTGATAAGCATTTTAAACGACAATATGCTAAAAAAAACTACAAGAGAGGTGCTGCTGTAGAGGAGGATCAAGTAATGAGACAAACCAAGTGCCTGTGTAGCAACCTAAGAAGACTAAGGCGTAGACAAGAGGAAATCACAAACATTTGCTTTTAGTTAGACCTGAAGATCATAGTCCTCATTGAAACATGGTCATCACACAACACCATCGATAAGTGTGCTTGCAAGACATAACATATTCGATACGATAGGGTACACAAAATAGGAGGTGGAATAGCAGTATGTATTAACGGCCACTTCAAAACCGTAACACCGTACAGCACCGAACTAACCGGTTTTACTTCAATGTATACGGCATGGAATGCTTGATTGAAGAGATATACTGGCTCTTCGCAGGTTCTAACACTTGAAAAGATGAGATAATACAGGCGATACTAAAGTTACCACACCTTGATTTTGACCAAATACTACCAATTAAATGCTTCAACACACCAACATTAAATTTCAACAAGCGAGGTATAACCCGTAGAGAATGGTTCCATAAGTAGCTTGCCACAGCTGTCAAAAGTCTAAGACTGACTGAACATATGGATGATACCACGAGATGATACAGGGACGGAAAGCCCTTAAAATTGAGCTAGTTACTGACAAATGATTAGCTTCTAGTTGAGGATGTGAAAGTCCACGCATCAGTAGTTAGTTTAAACCTTTTTTCCTTCAAGTTTGTCGTAATAACATGCGAGATTCTAGGGAGGAGGACAAGGACGTGTAAAATTCTGGTCAAAGTCGATATTAGTACGCCTATCTAAGTTCCTAGAATAATGTCTATTTCGCAATCGTAGATTTTTAATAGTGTGGAAACCTGATCTATAAGAACTTAAGTGGAACTCACATCATTAATATACTGATTCGTCCCGTAATACAGTCAGAAATATGGTGTTTAGCATTTCTAAAAAACGCAATTGTGCTGGGGGTAGAATAAAATGTTTAACATCAGAAGGAACGAGTCGTACAGATTAACCATACATGAATTCCCGAGCCATGCCATACGAGTTGCTCTTCTCTCAATACTGTCAGAAGTAATGAAAGGACTGGTCGACGAATAAATACAGGAATGCATGGATGAGAATAATATCCCTCATGAGGCCCAATACGGGTTCAGGAATGTCAGAGCATTCGCATCTAACCTCCTCATGGCATGGGAAAGCTTGACGACCTGCTTTGACCATAAGATAATAGTTCATAAAGTGTCCCTTGGTTCTGAAAACGTCTGACACAGCACATGGTGTTCTTTACTTAGAAAAGGTTGCCAACATTAGTTTTCATTGACCCACGTGCATCCTTGCTATGAAACAATGTAGAGAACGGGATGTTTCGTACCAAGGAAAATAGAGTGCGCACGAGTTAAAAGGTCTCAAAATCAGGCGTTTCACAAGAAAAAATCTTAGGTCCACCCCAGTCGTTGACCTTAAATAACAAAACACAAGATAGCAAAAACCGAAAAACGGGTAGTAGACAATGAGTTAAAATCTAACCTGACGAAATATCATGTCATAGACATTCTGCCTCACATGACATAAAGCACTTACACTCTTTACGGAAATCAACTGTCAACTATCTCTTCCGAGCGTGATTTGGGGCTCGTAACCGCAAGGGACATGGGGATCCGTCCAAACGACACAAGAAATGCAACCAAGGCAAACGTACACTCCACTTTATGTGAAAATGACTTGATACAATCCCTCCAAAGCTTTTCTTAACATTGTTTAGGGAGTACACACAGTCCAACCTTAAGGTCCACAAAGTCATGGCTTCGTCTCTCTTTAAAAAAATAAATCTCTTGGCTCAAGTACACGAGTGGGCATCCAAGCGGATGATAGTTATAAAACAATTATTACGAGGAGAGACTCTAGCATCTAGAACTATTTTCGCCGGGCTTCAAGAGAATAACGGCACGCAACACACTAAGTACGCCGAGTCACGCTAACGCAAGCATATTACTAGAACGCTCTTTAGGGCGAACCCCGAAAGACTACATATCATCAGGCGAATACCCAGGTGCACTCTCAATGTCTCTCACTAAGAGTTGCCTCTATTTGGAATACTCTCACAGAGAAGTTGCCAAAGACCCCCAGTGAATAGCTTTAAAAAGAAGCCGGGCAAACACATACTCGCCGGTGGATTGCAATACCCTCCTTAGACTGGCTATGTCTAGGGCGTGTCTTGTAAATTAATACGGTTATAAATACTGTTTAAATAGTAACTACTTCCCAACTCACTCATTACCATCTTTGTTTCTATGTTGTCAATCAAGTGAATCATTTGTTTATTCTCAAATTATTTATTTTCTCCTAGCACTCGAACTATCACTTTGTTACTTTCATATTAAAACCAAGCAACCTCCTGCCTGGTAGTGTGATAGCGGTTGGTATCCCACAAACCTACTTCCTTGAGATAAACACATTCACTCAACTACAAGATATACAAATCCACGATCAAATACCACACTGACTAACATTACTGCAGTCGGTTGGCTAGTTAAATGCTCATTGGACGTAACAAAATACGTGTCCAAACGAGAAAAAGCGAGAGCAAAAAAGTCAGTCAGATACGGGATATCTAAGCAACAGGATTATTAGAGTCATGAAGAGCTGAATTTTCTCGCGCTACTGGATGTTCTTGTAGGATCCCTCAGAGTTCAGTGCAAGGATACCTTCCGTTTTTCATTCATTTTAACAATATCTAGCGAGTACCGTTAGAGTTGCTACCCTTCGCCGGAGATCTCAAACTTTTAGAGTAAAGTGGGCAATCAGGATGACAAACTAGAAACTCAGGGGAATCAGACTTAACTTTGATGTTTGGCAGAAAACGATGGACTTGTAGTGGTATTGGGCCCTAACCATACAATCCTTAAAGCTGAACACCGGACAACTGGGAAAATACATATCCAACATTTGACGCGGAGAAAAACCCAACGATATAGAAGTCTGGAAGAATGAATTGAACTAGTTCGAATCCATCGGATGGCATGGCTCGGCCTTACAGGCGCGGTCATTATTGAGTGCTAAAATGTACCTCCTATTCATATTAAATATATTGTTCTATCATCATATATTGATGATTGTTACGACGCGATGAGTTGGTGTAGATATTAATATGACTTCCGTGTAAGATCATATATATTAGGCAGTTATATGATGATAAATCTACAATTTTAGGACTAAGTCTATTATTAGAGCGGTACTAATATCATAGTAGACCATAATTCTACAGACACACTTTCGGCACTTTAAAACGTAAAGTAGGCCACCTAGGATATGTTGCGAATTGCAAATAAAACATAAGTAGTTTCTTTAAAAAAGTTCGTAGGTTGGCGCTATCGAAATCCTGAAGCTAATTTCGAGCCCAGATGCTGACAACGTTCAGGACATTCTGTTGGAAAAAATGGTTCCGACATGTCAACTTTTACTCAAGTCACAACCTCTCATAGTGAGAGCCCCACAAACTATTTTTCAATAGGTTCTCTATTATGTCCTGTTAGAATTCGTTTCGGACGACAAAAAAGAAGAATCGAAGTCCTTTTGTTTGCATCTACATGTCACGTTCACAGTTTCAAAAAATATTTTCAGTGAACGTATATCTGTTCTTTGTAAAACATGTGTTTCTCAGGTACTTTAGAGGCTTCTGTGGGATTCACGTCTAGTATTATAGTGAGTGTATTTATGTACGGTACTACAATAATAAAACTAGTCCAATACTGTGGACTTATTATGATCTTACTGTCTAACTCATAAGATTCTACATCGAATCTAAATTGTGTTGTGATTTAGCTCGTCGGATCACGACAGTTGGCGGTGTTGTTTATAAAAACCTTTGAAAAAGCTATTCACACTTGATATAAAGTAACAGTTAGTATGTGCATTAACGCGCCATAAGAGGGTGATTAATCTATGTGCTCCCTTTATCTTACACTGATTAAAAACAGAAGAGGTCCCAGTATCAAGCCCTGAAGAATCCATCAAGACGTCCTGCAGCACGATAAAATGTTAGGTTTTCTATTATCCTAAAACGTCTATAAACAACTCGAAACAGCCTGTTGATGAAGATCTGGGACATATTGGATCGAGTTTATTGATAAGATGTGTTTTATCGACCCTGTCAAATACTTAAGAAATCGAGGTAAATTATGTCCACCTTCTCTTTGCTAATGAGGATGATAGTCTATCTGTCGACTGCACTGAATGGGTCAGCGATGCAGAAACGATACTTCCTGGAAGCGTAATGTTGAAGGCGAAAAGAACTATGTGGATAACAAGTAGTCGCATGGGCCATTGCACATCAGGAAGTTCATAACCTTTGGGGGTATTGAACGAAGTGAAACCGGTCAGCACTTCGAAGGCCCGTTGGGTCCGGAACCTTTAAAAGTTGGTGTGATGTATGCAAATTTCCAATTTTCTGAGACTGCACCTTTATTTAGCTATTGCGAGTGTGTTGCCAAGATTAAGGCTGCTCCTCACTATAAAAGGAGTGGATGATGTCGACGTATTCACGTTTGCGAACTGAAGACTTTGGTACACCAGCCATGCGCTCAGATTCACTTTCAAGACTTCTGTTGAGTTTTAGGTAGGGCTATGACTACCGTTTTATCAATAGCTCAGGAGTATAAATAACGTTGTTGCTTTGGAAACTCCAGCTCTGTCTAGTCGAGTAGAGGCTGAATGACGGAATAAGCTATACAGACTGGAGGTGAATTCTTCGATTAGACTAATCTGATACAGCCGTCTCGCTTTACGAGAACAGGTACGTTATTCATTTATTTAGTGTTTTCCGAAGAACCATATAAATCATAGGACACCAACGAGCGATAAGCAAAGGTGTAATTATAACACCCTCTCGTAGAAGATTCAGTGTTTAAGTATCCATTTCTGATAAATCTCTAAGAAGAGTGAATACTCTAGAGTCCATTGTCTCAGGTAATGTTTTGAATCTGTAGTCGCTACGAGAAGTAAAAGCTCTAAAGGTTGAGAAAAACTGTCCAACTGTGTTCTGCTCTCAAGGTCAATGACCTGGAACAATATTCTCTATTGAGTCAGATATTTTGTATAAGGTCAAAGCGCGTGTGTTGATCTTCGCGTTATGTTTCCAATACTTGTAACATGACGACAATAGAGTCCAGTAAGTTTTACGGTTTTGGTCTTAGTTTCAGTCAACGAAGTATCTTTTGTATACTTTGGATCGCAATACATAACTTCAAATGGTTGATTTTATAGTTTTTGACTAGATTTGGGAAAACTTGTCATATCTTCCTTATAATGTAGTTTTGTGCACTCTACTCTCAAGTTTTTATGGTTCCCTTTGTCCATTTTGTTAATGGACCATTTAACAAGTGCACCAGATTTCAAAAGAAGTTCTTAGTTTTTTGGATGATTTTTTATTGTAGTAATAATTATTTATTATGTATTTGTAAATATCAAAAGAGATTTAGAAGAGCCTTTGATTGATAACGGTTTGGACGCCACGTCAGTCGTTAACCTGTTTATGACTCTGGAAAATCTTGTTCTTCAAATCGTCCTCAGGAAGAAGCTATTGGAATTTGACTCATCTTTCTTTTTCTCTGTTTTGTCATTGTTTCATTGAAAGTTTTGACTTTTTTTCATTCTGTTCTTAATATTGATGTTTTCGTACCTGTCGTGTTGCGAACTCGTGCATCTTTTGGAACTTATGTACAGAAAATCCAGTCGGTTTTAATTTATTCAAACTATGGTTTATCCGTTTTTTGAATTCGGTTTAAAAATATTTGCCTTTGTTCAACAGTCATGACTCATTGCTTGAATCTCATAATCAGTTCACATTCACGTGTCATTCGGACCAAACTTCGAAGTAGTGTTGTGAGACATCCGAAAGCTATTTATGGTCATGTCAATTTTAGAGTCTTAATATCTACCGTATTCTTTGTTTGTTACGTCATTAGGCACAATACTTGTTCATCTCTAATCTATAGTGTTTTGATACGCATATCTTGATTGTCTGCTTACTATATGTAATTAAGTTATTGATCAGGTCATATTGCTTCTGAACTTGCTAGTATATAGTTGCCAGTAAATAAGTCTGTCTTTTGATTTCTTCTTAATAACATGTTGATTTTCTGTATTAAGGAATTCCTCGTCGGCGTGCGAATTCTGCAGAACCCAGGACAAATTATTTCGTGCGAAAACTTTCCAAATTGGTTTTAAATGAAAGCGACCTTCAAAATACTTCTCATCTCAAGGATTTTAATATGAACCGCAAATTGTCTACACAACAGCCAAAGTTTACTAATCCTTTTGCTCGTCTGGATTTTCGTAAAAAAAGGAAGAAGACTACTAAAGTCAAAGTAGTATGTAATATTTCACTCACCGGTTGTATATTGCTCTTCACAAGGTCTTTGATTTTACCACTCATCCTCTCAATATCATTATTATTGCAGATAATCTCACCATGGACTTATGACAGTGTGAAAGAGCTGCCAAGCACTCCAGACCAAAGCGTAGAACATCTTGAGTCATATCAATGTACTAAAAGTTCGATTTACTCGCCACATAACACCCACCCATCTACCTTATAGTTAGGGAGAGATATTAACTAAATAAAGCTAATAACTGTCAAGAATCATTAAAACGACAGGAAAACTAAATGGTTGAGCGTGGGATTAATAGTTGATATACATCAAAAAGATTGCCGAACAGTCATTAACTTGTGGGTCATTTACTTTAAAAATACCACCATAATATATTAACTCCAGTTACCTGGTGATTACCTCAATGATAACAAAGTAGAATAAAATAAAAGGTATAAAAGCAAAACATCGTCCCTACTCTTTGCCAAGACTTTACTTTTAGATAAATAAATCTTTTGGCAAAAGAACTTTTATTGAGTTCAAGAGTCACAGTTGTGGCACCAATGGGTATTTTTCTGATATGATCTTTATTTCAGAGATCAGTTCTTGGGTGCTGAGCGTTATTTAGAACAGCAATTGATTTATATCTAATCTCATGATAATTATTTTTGAGTTCTTACCGATGGCTTATATACTGACATTCATACGCAAACGTTTGGCGATTAAGAGTTGAACACTTACTTGTGCATTGGTACAGGCCAAAAAGAACTACATCATCCACTGACTGTGCTGTGTTGTGTATTAGATGCTTTATTTGTAGTGGTATGGTTTCATTATTGAAGTATTTATATTCTAGTCATGATTATACCAGTTCTTGAAAAGTCCAAAATCACATTTTGGAAACTCGATCTTGGTTGTCTTTGTCTAGAAGTCCGTATAATAAAACCTCATAATTCCAACTAACCGTGTAAAACATACTATTACCACTTATTTAACTTCCTTGCAAGACTGCTAATTAATAAACCCTTAAGAAACGAAACATATTGGTACTTAAAAACAGTCTTGATGTTGATTTTAATTCTATCTACAAGTAGTATTTCTTTTTTTATAAGCCACCATTGGATTTTCCCCAGTCGTATACTGAGTTGATTTTGGAACTTGCCTACACATCAAACTTAACACGTCAAGTTATTCGACCCTTTAATCGTTGTCATTTAATCAGTCAATTAACTGAATGTGCACGCTTGATTCGTGGACGTATCGCTTCTGGTGCTGCATGTATCCAGCTTCCGTTACTGGCCGATTCCAAAAAGGACGAACAACGTATGAGTGACAAGTGAGTATCACTTACTTTTAAGGAAAAAAAACGTTTGGAGTCTTTCCTCATTTCCAAACTATAACAATTGATTGCTAGGTATTAAACACTGTGCCGCTTACTCTTCAGTTCTATTATTCACTCAGCCAAGTGACTAAAACCCCAATATACTTTGTGTAAGCCCAGCAGAGCATCATTTTCTTCAAAACTAAGGCATCATTGCTTAGGACGTCCTACACATCGCTTTCTGCAACATTTTATTTAACAGACTGACACAGTTTTCTGACCGCCTTATTCTTTACTCGGAATATTAGCCTACTAATACTTGGCTAAAATTCCAGTGTTTATCTTTCCAAAATCCTTAAGGTATTGTTGACATCAAGTCTCAGCTCTTGAATTCCAACTGTTGAAAATTATTAGGTATTGAACACCGTTTTCTTTTCGTTGATAGGTACAGATAAATTTACCAATGATAAAACCAAAGACCGTTGAGTTCTTTATGGAATTAGCCTTTAAACTCCTAACCATGGTACCGTTTGTTGTGATTTTCATAACTAGTTTAGTAATACTTCTTTGAAGAGCACAAAATATGAAGAACTACTCATCAAACACATGAGTAGTTAGTGATTCATGTCAGTACAGTGATTAGAGGTCGAAAACATTTTCTTTTTGATTAAAATAATTTTGATTGTTAGCCCGAAATGTATGCATCATTTTTGCAGATAGAGAAAAACGAATCTGTCGAAACTTACCATTTTAATACTTAGTTATCTTTAAAAAAAATCTTTAAATATATTAGCAATTTGAATATGTCGAAGATTTAGTCAAATGCTTAATGATCACCGATAATTAAAATAATCTAAAAAATTACACAACTTTTGGCATTATGGTTATATCATGAATTTATTTTAGTATTTGTCAGGTAACTGCTAATTTTCTTCACTTTTCTACGAAAAGTATTAGTTGATATTCGCTTTATTCTTACTGAATCATGATTATTCTTATTACTTATCAAGAAAATTTTCTACCGGAACACACCCATGGTGATGCGACTTATATTTACTTGCACTGTCCTGAAGATTTATTTCTTGATAAAGTACACTGCGATAGTCATATTTTCTAGCTGATGGGGAAGTTTCGACTTCTTGGAAAAAAGCATGATTAGTTTTATGGAGCAATTTACTAATTTTATGCATTCAGATACTCCTGATGTATATATGAGGTACATAAGAAAATTTGTGATATGAATAGTATCATGTCACGATTTGGGCTTAAGTCTTATTACGATGGACAATGAACTAAAATAGCAAAACATGAACAGAACACTTATAACATTGGTCTCACTCTTCTCTATTTCCCATATCTCTCTCATAAATAGAAGTATATATATTTAAGTTTGCAAGTGAGTAAGTAAATAAAATGCACTTTGTTGTTTAAATCTTATTAACTGTGATCAGAAAACTACTTTACAACTGGTTGGAGCATATGTAGTTACACTCATCATTCTTAATTGATCTTCTAGTGTGTTATAGTGAAATGTAGATTTATGTATTGCAAGGATTATTGAAATGGTGTGCCGTTCATGACTTAGCACACTATTTTTATGTTTGTTTAGATTCAATTCCATTAATAGAATAATAAAGTGATTGGGATTATTGAGCTGCGCTTTTTAAAACCTAAACGTCAAGTAGCACTCATATGATGAAAACTTCTACGAAAAATTATCTTGACCTAATAGGTTATTCAACCTACCCTTGAATCTCTCTTTAGTTAAAGAACAAGTGCAAATTTTCTAATTAGACATAGCCTTGAGCGGATACTCGTTCAAATAAAAAACGGAGTGTGTGGTTAGACCACAATCATTTCACATAGCAACATATAGTGGATATATTCAATGGGACAGGTGTTAAAAGGAATAATATTCTGTTATATCAATTCAAAAAGTGAGTTCTATACTTCTCAGCGTGGCATATAAATAATTTGATGACTTTCCTCCTGATGGGTTGTAAATGCTTCTCAACTTATCGTTTAATAACTTTTAGATATATACACAAGGCGAATCGTTCTGATTTGCCACACCGGCCAGGTAATATGTTGATAAGTACGTTTGGGCAGTGTATAAAACTGTCAGAATCAATGTACATTTGTAATATGAAGTTATGAAGTTTTATTTGATATGGTTTTCAGCCTTAATTAACAGAGTTTAAATATTAAGTCGGTTAGTATGTCGTAAATAGCATAACACTAGGCACAAATTTCCCTCGACTCGAATAGCCGTGCCACGTGAGAAACTTACTTACTTACGCCTGTTACTCCCAATGGAGCATAGGCCGCTGACCAGCATTCTCTAACCCACTATGTCCTGGGCCTTCCTTTCTAGTTCTATCCCATTTTTGTTCATTCTTCTCATGTCTGTCTCCGTTTGTCGGCATAATGTGTTTTTTGGTCTTCCTCTTCTCCTTTGGCCTTGAGGATTCCATGTGAGGGTTTGCCTTGTGACGCAATTGGGTGCTTTCCTCAATGTGTTTCATATCCACTTCCAGCGCTTCTTCCTGATTTCTCCTCGGCTGAGATCTGCTTTGTTCTCTCCCATAGTAGGTTGATGTTGATAGTATCTGGCGAACGGATCCGAAGTATTTTGCGTAGATAGCTGTTAATAAACACCTGTATTTTCTGAATGATGGCTTTCGTAGTTCTCCAAGTTTCCGCCCCATACAGTAGAACTGTCTTGACATTTGTATTGAAAATTCTGACCTTGGCCACGTGAGAAAAGCGAGGTAAAATTCTAAAGATGGAAACTACAGTAGTAATATCATTGGTAGTAACAAGACTACACAAAGAGAATGGTTTACGAGTTTGGATATTAGATACTCTAATACGTAGCTTGAAGCCAGGTCACCAAAAACCAGGGATGTTATTTTATAAGTTAGAATTATCTCCACTTTCGGAGTACCTGTGTAAGTTGGTGTTGCTTAAGCAGTGCTATCAGACATAAACTGTGATGCAGGAATTAATAATAAAGCTACTTGCTGACATGTTTAGGACAGTTTTTGCCAGGGGTGTGCTGGTTCACTACTGCATCTGTATTATCTCCAGTTTGATATGGTAAATTATTTTACTCGCAATTTAAATTCACAGTAGCTTAGTTTGCAGTATAGTCAATAGGATCATTACGCTTATTATCACTGGAAAAAATCCAATATGTTTCTGAAGGTGAAAAATTGATTTTTAAAAAAATAAAACTGTCTATTTACTTTTGTTGTTCATTTTGCTACTTATTTTGACCTAATTTATAGCTTTTATCTTCTATTAAATATTGATCAAACTGAGATACTCTAATATCAAGTGATTTAAACCTATATACTTGGTCATTTATTCTTATATTGAGTTGGCATGTGTTTCGAATCCTAATTTTCTCGGCCGGTTAACAAGTATACTAAATGTAGAACATATGACTTTGTGAATTAAAATCAAATCAATAAACCTTTGAAAGATACTCATTTGATTTTCGGGTCACTTTTTTACTATTTACTTGGATTCGCGATCATATTTCACATTAGTCTGTCGTGTAGATTTTTCACGCGTATACTAGCTGTTTTCTTGAGACGGTTAATATGAGAATACAATCCTAAACAATGCTGACATCATTTCTGTTAGTGCATTCATTAGTAGAGAAGTTTAATGCCGCTCTCTGTTAACTCAGTTCTCTGATCGAATAAAAAATAGTTAATTCAGTACATAAATTTTTTTGTTTCATTTCTTCGAAAGATCCAGGGATCCGAAATGTTCTGTCAATATTATTATTCGGAATCATTCACTAGGATGATTATTCACAAAGATCAATGAGAATATTTCAATGACTTAAATATTTTTGATATACTCCATTGTTTAAAGTCCCTTGATGAAATCAGTCATACTGCCAAATCAGTTGTCCTCTTTCTAGTCTTTAGACTAATTTCTCTTTACTTCAGAATCCTTCGTTTATAGAGGAAGAGTGTTCATTGAACAAAATCTATGTCCATCTTCTCATATTTACATCAATCTTCATTTTAGATTGAATGTCTGTGACAGAATAAACAGAGTTTGGTATCTTCAAGTTCTTTCTTCAACAATTATCGCATGTCACTTATCTTACTTGATAACTTTAGACACTTGTTATGTAATTATCAGATCAATTTTACTTTCAAGTCACAGGTTATCATTTTAAGCACCTATATGTATTTATGTAAAACTGTCGAAAACCAAATGACGTCTTGATAGGTTTATACATATCTATTAGTTAGTGTTTTTGTGGAAATTATGATTACGAACCATGATCACCTTGTGATGCGTGTTACTTATATTGACATAAGTAGTATATAACGCGAGTCAGGAATGTAATGTCTGACAGCAAAAGATTGGAAAGATCAAGAAAGGAAGAACGGGAGTAGAAAGCAATTAGTATGGAAATACAAGAACAATGAAGTCCGAGACAATTATTGAATATTTTGCGAATTAAGTATTATAGTATGGTTTTTCTATTTTACCAAGTAGTAACCCTGTAATTTTATGCTAAGTAATTCGGTTGTCGTCACCTGTGTTCTCCCTCACTACAACCTAAAGAACCACTAAAACCCAAAGAGCTCTGAATAAGTGTTTCACTCTAGTTTAAGAGGAGTTGAAAATATCAACCATTAGATTCCAAAGCATCGATAGACGACAAAGTGATTCACTAAGTGATTCCGGTTTATAATGAAAATTATCTTAAATTCGTATATATTATCCTATCTAGGTTATAAACATTACAACATAACATTAATTATTGAACTTGAAATATGTCTATTTTCTTTATCTCTTACAATATGGTTTGTATCGTTCCAGTTGTGTCATTCATAATTAAAATTAGTTCTGAAAAACTATTTTGTTAATTATTATTATTATTATTATCCAGTTGACTATATGCTTATTTAGTGTTCTCGCATTTCATGTACATGATGTTTATTTTCTTTCTTTTATATCCATTACATTCCATACTTTCATTCTATTTATTTACAAATTTCAGAGAAAATCTATCAGTTCCACCGATTTTAATGACCTTATTTTTCATGTGATTATGGATTCTGTTTCTCAGCTCTTTACTCTGATTTTTTTTATTGTTGTAGGAATTGATTGAGTAGTTAATGTAAAGGTTATATTAAATATTCATGATTACTTATTGCTTTTACTCCTTCGTTCGCATAAAATGAACTCCGAATTGAAAAAAATATATATTATTAATGCAAGTGCTAGTTTTTATATTCTCTTTAAAGTAGGTATCGTGTAAAGAAAATATCTGCTACTCCTGTATTTATTGTGTAATAAAAGTTAGGATCATCCTAATGAAGTAATTTCAATTACTTGTATACAGTGTTGATTCGCTTTTGTTCATGCATAGAGAAAAGCTTAAAATTGAATAGATAATAAATTGGTAACAATATATTTCTACTTATCGGATTACCAGCTTTCTAGATTAAATCAATAATCTCCTGTGGGGCTGTGCTTGAAAAGTTCTGGTCACAACTCAACAATGTGCTAAGTCTTATTATAGGACTTGCTATCACTGAAATTAGAAGATATTACTATTATGATAGATCACTTAACTGATAAAATGTCAGAATAACTTGGATAGCCAAACCGATAATTTACTCGCATGATCGATCCTTAAATCCAAATTGGATCAAGTTTTGAAGTCAGAACTACTAGTCAACCATGTAAATATATTTTTGGGAAACGGAACTATAATTTGTGGACAAAATATTCGGTCATAATATTATGACAATCACTTGTTTGTCAGTTGAGGAATGGATAACAAAAAATAAAAATCATTAAATAACCTGTGATTATTTAATTTCGTGTTTTGTGAAAGTCAGTGTTTTGAATTAACTTCCTGATCGTCATGCTTACCGACTAAATGATGATAATGTTTTCTGGAAACTAATCTTAAAAGTATTTTTCCTCAGTTATTCTCTCTCTTTGTCCCATCTTCTTTCATCTCCTTTTTGTGTATTTATTGGTAATCTCAATATTAGTTGAATTCATGAACCGATCTAAGCTAGACCACCATTGAAAACCCAGAAGCACTGGACGGCACGAGACCGAAGATCCTGGATCCGAGTTCTTTGTGCGGGGTCGTGGATGCGCACTACTTAGGGTAAAACGGCCATTCAGTACTTCCAGGTTTTCAGTGGTGGTCTAGCTTAGATCGACTCATGAATTCAACTATTAAAATTACTACAATCTCCACAGACCCCCATTCTGATAATCTCAATATTAAACAACTATTTAGTGAAAATTTGACTTTTCTAAAACTATTTTCAATGGTTTCTGTACGTTACTGTTATTGGAATTCAGGACGAAATTAACAAGTCCTTGTTTGAATTTGTATTTTTGTATCCGTTTATCTTCAGTGTTTCTCTCATATTCCTTTTGCTTCTTCGTAACACTTCCTGCTTTTTGAATTGTTTGAAAAAGTATTTTAATAAATAGTGTTAAAAGTATGAATTATTGCTTATAATTTCTAGTCCTACCACCTCAAGTATATTTTCTTATTACATGGAATCCTTTGTTACAAACTTTAATCACTTCATCAACATTTGTTGCTTGCATGATCATGAGTGTGTGGCATTGTTTTTGGACTGTTTTCCGATGAATGAGGTGATTGTAAACAGGCTTAACGGTACTAGACTCAGGTATTGTCTGTTGATCAGTGTTAGAGATAAAATTAACATGACGGTGTGCAGTATTTCATTTGTTGCATCCATTTTCCTGTCACCTAATCTAGTCGTTCTATTTTTCATCTGGATTAAAATGTTTGTATACGCGATCCCTTCTGTAGTATCTTTAACGTCTCACATTGATAGTTTACTACTTTCAAATGCTGTTCAACGGCGATATTGAATATGAATTTGTCACAAATTACAAAGTACCAGCTGTACATATATTATGCGGGTGAAAAACAAATTTCTAATGAACGATACGTATATTTCATTAGTTTATTTGTCTCTTTTTGTTTTTGTTTGCTTGTTGTGCGCGAATCACATGATGTTTATGTTACGTACAGATGTTCCTTTTTTTGGCAAGAAAATATCGAAGATTAATTGGTACCATACATTTTAATTTAATCAGTTAACTCTATATTGTGAAGTCATTTTATGAATACGTTTTGATGACATTTCTCTTATCCATTTTTTTTTCGTCTTTCAATGACAATACTGCAAGCCAGTAATAAAACAGTTTCATTTTTAAGTAAAATTTGTATTAGTCAAGTCTATATTTCTAATTATTAAGGATTAAATACCATTGTTACTGATTGTTTATATGAGTAATTCACAAGTTGTCATGTGAAAGTGATTGGCATTTCTAAAATAACTAATATAGATTTGTATTCATTTAAATCATATTTATTATACATTTTCTTTTTTAAAAGTGAGTCACTAGTTTTACAGTTTAACAATATATCCTACTTTTCCACGTTAAAACATCATTCAGAAAATGTTAAAAAATTATTTAGAAAGATGAATACGAGTATCTTTGTGATGTTAAATTCTATGCATTGTGTTCTTCAGTGAATTATTTTAGGTTATTTGGTTCTCAATACTTAGGTTTAGGCATCTCACACATCCCATGGTATTATTACTTTTCTTTACATCAAATATTTGGCTCAAAAACGTCAATCAGGCTACACTTAGTTATATTGAACAATAAACGTCATTTGAGTTCTTATAAATCTGTTTACATCTGTACAATATGATGATACAGTGTAATAATCATTTATAGATGGTAAAATTAGATAAATTACACTCGAAGACATTAAATCATACATAATAATCCTAACATAGGCTATTGAGATAAAGTAATTTACTGTAAAAAAAAGCTGGACCTGAATATTCTAATTTTGAATAAGATTAATGTTAGATTATTTGGCAGTCAGTATTATTTTTAAATGAATGAAGCAAACAAAATTTGTAGCAAAGAATAATAAAGTAAACATCTCTAAATTAAACATTTTTTTCAACCAATATCATGCATTATTATTACAGAAGGAAGTAGATCTACCTTCATTGTGTAATAAAATCGTGATGTAAACTAACTAGATTATCAATTCATTTTATTTAACACATTTGTAAAGTGATTGTTCTCCAACTTTTTTCAACTTAAAAAGTCAGTCTTTACAATTTTTACCTTGATAAAAATTTTATTGATGAGATAAAACATTTCTTGATCATGCTTTGTTTACAGTTTGTTGATATGGTTTTTTATTCTGGTTACTAATTTTTTTCATTTGATTATCTACAATCATTTTCTTTCCCTTTTGTTGTAAAAGTCGAATGATTATGGCAAAGATTAATCAGTTCAATGAAGCACATGCGTTATTTATTGATTGGATTAATAAACTTTCATCAGCTCCATTTGTAACCAACACATTTGGTCCAACAGTTGTTCAACCTTCTGATGGAAATAGTCCTACAGATCAACAGATTCTACTATCAAAATCAAATTATTCTATACAGGATGCTAATTTACTACAAGATTTACAATGTGATGGTGAATTGTTATTCTGTCAACTTCAATCATGTGCTTTGGTAAGTAATCTTTTCACATTTAATTCAATACTGGAACTGTTCTATGCAATAAACTTCATATTATGGAGTTGTTTATTTTCAATGAGAAATTTTTTTGTCATTTTTACATTCCTGTATATTGTAACCAATTAACTAATTCTATTTAAGTCTCAAAGCTGAAAATTTTAAGCTCAAGTCTTAGCATGAAGATACTAAGATGGATTTAACATATATTTAAATGTTAACTATTATGATAGTTAAGATGAAATGTAGCTTGTATTACATTGAGAACTTTTTTACTAGATACCCTCATGAAATATTTAAATTTCACTTTCATTAACTTATTGATTAAACAGAAAGACAACTGAAGTTTCTAACACAGAAATAAAGATAAACAAACATACAGATGAGTTTAGTTATCATCAATCAGATTAGTCATTATATAATTACTATCGATTAGTAAGAATAAATTATGTAAATATAATCAAAAAGTTAGAAATAATTTGGTAATTGTTTCTACCGAATAATTAATTATCAATCTGTTTATTGCCCTTAAATTTCATTGATTAGTTAATATAACATGTAAACGCTTTATGAAGCTTTATCTTTCGCTCAATAAATTATTGAATATTTACTTATGTTATACGAATCAGTCTTAGTTCCGTTTTGATAGAGACCTAAAATCTCAGTACTATTGCATTTAGTTAAACTGTTTGTTCTTGATATTATGCAAATGCGACGTTAACAATATATTTATATGGAATAAATGAAGTGTGAGTAATAATGGTACACAGAAAGCTCATTTTTCCCTATTCTTTATTAATTTACGTTATAATGGCTACATAAGACAATCCGCATAGGATCGACCTATGCTAACCAAGGCTGATCGAATTTCAATCAAAATAACAACAGGATAATCCAAACCATGTCGACTTGAGTACAGTTATAGTTCATCATATCGTAATAGTTCAGGCAAACTGTCATGTGTTTCACTTACTAACATTTCAAATGTAGTAAACCAAATAGTTTGTTATTTATGAACAAATTATCAGTATCATTTTTAAGTTGCTTGACGTTATCTATGTGTAAGTGTGAGAACTTGAACAAAATATCACGTGGGAAAGTTATAGTCACAAATATTTTGAGTTCGATCCAATCTGTGTAGTGTTTACTACTTAAATATAAACTTGCTGTAACAATTAACAGATAAAAAGTATATTGTAGTTTATATAAGACCCTGACTTTTTTTAAGGGACTTCTAAGCGATTCACATTAAGGTTCAATTTGCAAGGTTGCCAGATGACACTATGGGCTACATTTACACGGTACCCTTAACTGGTTTGTGGGATCTTTGTTCGTCTGACAGTACGGATTACTTTAGTACACCGTCGGTTTGTGAATATAGATTTCCATCTGTCGTTAGGACTTCTCTTCTCCTCTACTCAGTAAATGTTCTATGAAAAGCAATAATTCATTTCAATAATGGACTGCGATTGCGTAACCTCACTAGAGTAGTTCAAGAAAATGAGTGGGCTCCTTACATACTATTCATTAGACTAAACTATTCGTAGGTTTGAATAAGTTGTAGCTGTTTAGGGAATTTACCGGTGTATTTATTCTTCTCAGACTAATAGACAATAATAAATATTTGGTGTTTAAAGTTTAATAAAAGATGCAATGAGTAAAAAAGCATATACTGTATTTTTACTTAGTAGAAAAAATGTATAACCTAACAGTTGTAATTGTACACGCAACTATACTATTACCTACTTGTCGATTTATTGGCTGAAGAACTCACTTTTCAACCAGGAGGCCAGATTTTAGAACTGCAGTCTACCTACTTAAGCTTGAGCAGCCAGGTTATATCATTAGTCCTCAAAAAGAGTGTCACCTAAAATTGACTACGTAAATCTGTAATTCCTACATGTTGTTATCGGTTGAATAGTACTACTAGTATATAAGTACATTTTTATTAATTATGATTGCAGTATTATAATTTCTAATAACTCGTTAATTTAGAATTAGTTCAATTAAAAATAAAATATGATTAAAGGAATAAATTGGTGAAGATAATGATTCTTGAATTTCCATGAATTTCTTCTTTGAAATTAAATTATACTCAATTTACTCCGTATAGTTTACCAAGACATTTATTTATGTAATGGAAATTAATTTGAGCAAAATTCCACTGCATATCACTAACTTCTGTTCCCTTTTTTCCTCTCAATTACCCTTTTAACTTTATGAAATCCTCAATGGGATCGATTCACTATGTATCATGAGAATAGCTTTCTTTCATTATCTCACTGACACACAAAATGTTTTAATTTTATCAGTCTTATTTTATTTTTGCGAAAATCTTGTTTATAATTTCTAACTGATAGTTATCAAGACAGAGAACAGAGTGTTAGAGAGGAGTAGAAGCTAAAATAATGCAAAACTAACCATTATTGAAAAAGGGGTCATAATTAATTCATACTTTAGCTAGTCCTGTCATCAAATATATATATATATATATATATATATATATATATATATATATATATATAGAGAGAGAGAGAGAGAGAGAGAGAGAGAGAGTTCGCCTAATTAAAAACCGGAAATACTCTATAATTATTTCGTTGTAGTGTTAAGGATTTTTATTTAGTTCACTTTCAACAATCCACTTGAGATCGAACGCTCGAATTTCCTGGTGATTTTGTAACTGTTTAGACTCACATTTGGAAGTCAGTAATTCACATTTTCAAACTTCAGTCCATTTTTGCAGTATGACATTCATTATTACACATAACCTGTTCAATAGTAGAACGACTATACACATATCCAGTGTGCGATAGTGAGCGTGTAGGTTTCTAATATATGTCACATGAGAACAATAGCTATCGAGTGCTCCCTCGCCTTTATTAGTCCACGGCTATTGTCATTTTGGAATGTAAACTATGTTCCTTGCAAACTATTTAAGCTTATGTATGTATACTGATGGTGTTGCGTCAATTTTTGTTCTTATTGCCGAAAAAACTCAAAATGGTCACTACATATTCATATCCTTTTTAGAAAATCCAACTGTAAAACGTATTGTTTTCATTTTACAACTTATTTAGCCCACTGTACGACTGGTCGCTTTTAATAATTTCTTTAGGATTTCGCAAAGCTAAATCCTTTGAAAATAAAAATCCAAAGTATAGTCTTGTATTAAACATTTATGTAGGAGGCACGATTTTGTATCATTCAGTTCATTATCTGCTTAAATCGAAGGACATAAGGAAGTAAGTATATTATTCAAATAGAAAATATCATAATGGCGATGATTTGAGAGAGAACCTAGTGAACGGAATACACCCATTAAAACACCTAATGAAAAAGATTAATTCAGCGAAGAGTTCTCTTTTCGGTGAATTCATTTTCAAAGCTGTACAATCGCAAATATATATACTTATTTTACAGGATGATGATAATACTGGTAATAAACCTCTGTTAGATATGGTGACAGTGAGGTTAAATTAACAAAGGTATTAAATTTTTTTAAACTAGGAAAGTTTAATAATCTTCTGGTTGTTAATGGTTTAAGTATTTATAAAAAGGATAGATAGGGAAATTATCATTGGGAAAGGATGACTCAGCATAATTTCGATTGCACAGCTTTGAAAATGATTCCGCAGAAAAGAGAACTCTTTGCTGAACTAATCTTTCTTATTTAAGATCCTAGTGATTCGAACTCCTGACTTCTATATATAACATAGTAAACACAATCCTCTATATCAATATCTAATGTTGCTACTGTTGTTTCCTGTGCATTGTGTATATTTTTCTCTCCAGGCTGTGTTTGAATTACTCAAAAATGTTGGCTACACCACGTTTGTTGAACCGTCATGTATGGAAGCTTCGCTGTATAAAAGTTGGTTAGTGTGTATATGTTTCACCTAAACTTACTTATTCATTTTGTACTACAACAGATAATTTTACATAAATGTGAATTTTAAAAAAAACAGTTTAACAGTAATTAGTTTCCATAAATATGTAGGTTGTTGCGGATACTCTGTTTTACTACTCTCATCATTTAAACTTCTGCTATCACTGGATGAACATATAAAATGAACATGAAGAAAAGTATTCATCTTTCTTACTTGATGTGTTCCATATTTTTTTTCTTTTCACTTTCTCTCATATACATCTCTGTTGGAAATATTTGAATTCAATATCTATCGTTATTATTAGGAGTAAAATTAAATTGAAAGTAACTTTCCGATAGTTAAAACACGATGTGACTATTCATGTCACTAGTGCTTGGACTGTTTTGTATATATGTCTTTAGGCTTGTTATTCATAGTCTAATACACACGGGACATAGTACAATCCTTCTTATACATTAATCTTGAATGAGTCAGGAATTACGACAAATTCCATATATTTCTTCAGAAAATCTTTGACCTTGACTAATAATTCCTTTAACAGTTTTATCAAACTTTTGTTGAGTACTGTTGCTACGATAATTTTAAATAATCTTATTGATTAATTAATTAGTTGTTCTAATCAAACCACCCCCATCCTGATGTCACCACATTTTCATGCAATTTTAGTTGTTCCAAGTTGGTTAATTTTTTCTACTTTTAAATAGCTATTTCGATATACATAAATCGATTGTTTTCTGCTTGTTTGTTATTTGGTATTATTTTTCACTAATCATTTATAGTAATAATAATAATAATAATAATAATAATAATAGTAATAATAATAATAATGATCGTAATTGTTTATACTTTCACAAAGTAATTGACGTTCAATAAAATGCTTATTTTACTGAGTAACTATTGTTTATTATGTAACTTCTGAAATGGTGTTTTGTGTTTTCAAATTGACTATTCTTGTTTTGTACTTCGATTAATCGACAACTGTTGTCAGTAAATTATGGTCAAGTATACCTGTCGAAGCTATTAAGTTGATCAGTACTGACTAGAACGTTTTTTTCATAAAATTTAGAAAATGTTCAAACTAAAACTTATGCCATCGTAATATAAATAGGTAACATTTGAGTAAATGGTTAATCAGATGATGAAATCTAATTACTCATTAACAACTAACTTCATGCTTACTCTTACCTACCTCTCTTCGATAACAGTGATCGACTTCCGACGTTTCGCTGTTTATATTACTCGTTTTCAATCAAAATTGACTTTACATAAGGCATTTGGCAGCCATTTCGATTGACACAACTGACTAAACAGTTAGATCATATGGCTATTAGCCATCTTTGTCGAGGATCGGTTGAAAAATTTATATTATTCCTCAACCATTTGTGTGTATTTCGTTGATGGATTGTTACCTGCTTGAATATATCTGTAACTGAATGAGTATTCTAGTTTTAAAATGGAAATATCATTATTATCTTCAAGAGAAAGATGGTCCAAAAAGTCTGTGCAACTAGAGATTGTGGTAATCGACTGCATGTAGTACTATGCTTGCATCCTGAATTTTGGTAGGCTAGTTACCGACAAAAACTTTATTGCATCTAAATGCCTGTTTAATATCTACTAAGTTGTTTCATTTATAATTCCGAGTGCCCGATATGTGGTAATATTACTACTTAACAGTCCACTATACAATCAGGGCATAACCACTGAATTTAGGTTTTTATAAATCGGGAATTTTTATGCATGACAGTGAAATCATTGAGTGGAGATTTCTGAGTGTTTGGACAAGGTCTTGGTTAAACAAGGTGTTTCATTTAATAAACTTTACAGCTATTCTTATGGTTTCTTGGTCACTGCCTATAGAAATCCATGTGCAATGATGGCAAAGCATTTCAATTAATAATAACAATACATGTTATCATGTTAATTCAGTTGATACTAAACAGTTAATAAGTACTCAATGAAAGATTAAGAAATTGTTTTTGTGTACTAATAAATCACTTTATATCGTTGTTAATTACTCGGATTGTTGCATTTTCATTTGGTATAGCTATGCACAAAATGAATCAACCCCTACTTATTTAAACAAAAATGGTCATGAAATTAAAAACAGTGGTACCGAAATTCTTAGTCATTCTAATTCGTATAACAATACATCAATAAAAAGTTCAAGTGTGTTCACTGATGAAGATCGTGAACTTCTAGCTAAACTATGGCGTTATTTAGATCCTAACAATAGTTTATCAGGCACCAATTCACCACCACCGAAACCTCCACTACCTAATTTATGTCCTCTCAACATTCCATTCTCTGATCGTCGTACGGATTTAGTCAGCTCTAGTAATCAATCTTCTCAACTTAGTATGAACCCATTTGATGATCCAAACTTGTTAGCATATTTATGTATAATTGCTTCTACTGCTCAACAAAAGTACCCTTCAAATTCAAGTCCAATTAAGAAAAGTTCAGATTGTCAAAAAGAATTTACATTGCCAACCACCAGGTATGTTTCAATGTTGATTTTAACTAAAAACAAGCTTAATTTTACTGTCGTTTGTCTTCAGTTTTTTGTGTCAAGTCATTTACCATACTATGCTTAATTATTTTTTTCTTTCTTTTTAATATAACTTAAAATCAGATTGGATTTAAATGCAACTGACCACTTGTGTTTCCCATTAGTCGATGAGTCGGATACTAGTGATCTAGAGTCGAATTTCAATTATCTTAATAATTCGATTAAATTAGATAATTCTTGTACAATACAAACACCTAGTTGTAAACCTAACAGCGCATTATTTTCAATTAAAGATGCCTCACATTCTGTTATCGAACAACCTAAACTGCCTACGAGACAAAAGGAAAAAGTTGATCACTTTGATGAAACATCGTTATATTCAACAAATTGTAACGGAAAGTTTTCACATGTTCATTCCAGTCGAGTAAGCTCTTTTGTATATCAGCACCATTTTATTTTTTGTAATGATAGCTTATTTTGATTTGGCATATTCATGCTACTTTATGCAGTAATATTTTCACTAGTTATGTTCAAAATATTCGTTTCAAAGTACAAACTATGAATATCCTCTATAGATTATCACATTTTATGTAAGCTAAAAAAGAATATCTGATGAATAATGGACTTTATCAGTGGAAACCGTTAAGAGGTTAACTTAAATACCAGCAACCTACTTGCCAGCAATATACATTTTTTCATAGCTAATTAGACTTAACTAGCGTTGTTTCTATATGTGTACATAATGTATTCTACCTAATGGATTTCAGTGTGTTATGATCCTACCCGCTCACATCAAGTAATCCTTTATCTTGTGTAGAAAGCGAGATTCTGTGAGTTGGATACACACTGATATCTTTGTTTTCTGTTTCCCTCCTTAAGAGTTTACCGATTTGTATTATATTACTTGCAGAAAGTGATGGTTTAATTATTAGATAAAAATTCTTAAACAAATGTATTCTCATGTTCTTGTATAAAACGTTTCTGTTGTTCGAATGCTAGATAATGATAGAAAACTTTTATTCGACCACTTACTGTGTAGTAACGAATTCCATGTTTGTCTAGTCCTTTAATGATGATTAAATCCTATCGATCGAGTTTCAGTTTGGCCACTAATCTCATTGACTGAACAACGCACACACTATGTTTTTTTGATGTTACACTGTTAGAGGTAACCTCATAAATAATGATTCAAACCTAATAAATGAACATTAATCAATACATAATTTCTTTTATGCACCCATTGCCTTATTTTTGTGAAATTGTTCATTAAAATCGTGACAAATGTTTGTGCAAACATCGGATTGATTCACAACTAATATTTCTCACATAGATTGTATGGCTCGTGTATTGTTCAGGTTCTCAATAATAGTGTGAATAACTTTTGAATGATTATTGTATATAAAGTTTGAAATTCTGATAACGTATTATGTGAGATTATATTAACTAAACACAAATTAACACCTCTATCTAACCTATTGTCCTCCTGAGAAGTAGTTAATTTATTTCAGAGATTCTTAATTTATTGCATTGCTTCACTAGAAATTGTCAGACGCTAAATAGTTTTTTGTCAATTGTTTTTTTGTTGTGTTTGTTTATGGTTTTAATATATTCAATAAAAGTGCTTATTACTTACTTACTTACTTACGCCTGTTACTCCTAATGGAGAATAGGCCACCAAACAGCATTCTTCAACCCATTCTGTTCTAGGCCTTCTTTTCTAGTTCCATCCAATTCTTGTTCATTTTTCTCATGTCTATCTCCATTTCTCGGCGTAATGTGTTCTTTGGTCTTCCTCTTTTCCTTTGACCTTCAGGATTCCATGTGAGGGCTTGTCTTATACAAAAACTTATACAAAGCTTATACAAAAACTTAAATCCACCGAATGTTACCAACACCTATGAGTAGTGAAATGATTTATTTCATCTAACTCTGAATAGATTTTTACAAAGTCTGTGTTGACTTTAGTCAAATCACTTAATAAAGAATGTATGATCAGGATTGTTCTTTTATACCGTAGTACTTTAAAACTATACAACCAAACCTAAGGAATATCCTTTGATAAACAGATAATTTTAACCTATTCGAAGCTTATTATTTTTACAAAAGCCTTCATTATAGCCTTAGTTCAACAAAGTTTTATTTACATTATTTCAATCGTTTAAAAATTAACATTATATTTCTATCAGTATTTTTTGCTATTGATTCAGCTATATACATACGACTCATTGTAACTTATCTCGTTTAAATATCTTGGCGTCACTTTTTAAACATAAAATTTAATAACGTACTTATTGATTATCTGGTCACAATGTAAAGTTGTTCGCCTCAATGTGTTGTAATGTATTGGCAGTTAACGTTTGCTGTAAATTACCAGATAAAGTTACTTCAAAAATCTGACTAAATTATTAAAACAGATTTCAGAATTGGACAATAATATATAAATGCATCACTTATTTTCTTTTTTTTACGTCCTTTTCTCCGTAACTTATAAATCATAGAGAATCGATAGTGATATAAAATATCTTGTATATACATTTAATTTCATGTAGACTGAAGTCATGTAATAATATATCAACTTCAAACAATCTAGTAACGCGAAGTTAGATAACATGCCAAGATTTATAAATTAAAGTTTGAGTAATTGTTAAAGCTTCATCGACGAAACAGGATACAGTGGTTCTACACTAGTCATGTGTTAATTGAATATACATTGAGAGACTAGTTTACTAGTTGACATCCTCACTTTACTCATGTTTATATAGATTAGTTCAGATTTGAAATTAATTATCGCCTGTCAATGGATTCTTCAGGATTAAATTTCAATACTTCTCTTCTATTTCTTGAGTACAAATTGACCTGTCAGCACTCTCTTTAATGTTAGGTAGTAAAAATCCTAAAGTGAAATTCCCATCGGGTTACCGATTCGTATGTCTATTTGTATATTTGAATATTTTTCATAAATAGTTAAAAACTTTCATGAAACAACTTTAAATTTACTATTATATTCATATATTGTAATATTTAGAAATTACCATTTCAATTGAAAGACTGTAAATACTGGTCAAAATCAATGTCATCTGCAGATTCGAACAATCCACTTAGTGATAGTTTAATGCAGGAGGAAGTAGCAAAAATGGTGATGCATTTACAAGACGATGATTCGTGTACTTCACATCAGGTAATTTATAGTTCGGTGTTTCTATTTTGGTTTTTATACAACTTGTTGCTGTTTTGAATACCTATATGTTTACATATCTTACCGTCATTACTTTGATAAGGTGAAAAATGATGTAGAAAACAGTTGACATCATCTAATAAATGACCAAACTGTGTAAATCACTAGGTAGCTATTTCAAAAATAACTTCTTTATAATTACAAAATGTGCCTTAGGACCTTCAGTTTTAAAGACCATGATGTGTCATACATGAACTGAAATCCAATGATTTATAATTTTTGACTTATGAATTGAACTATTAAATTTCTTATTATTATTCTGCTTTATTAAGTAGACAAGTGTCTTTACCTTTTATTCCATCGATCATTACCTCTTATTACTTCCTAAACTATTACATAGTGTAAGCTTTTGATGATTGTTGATTACTTTGTTAAGTGATGCAACCTTTTTATATAATACTTGAAAACTTTAATTAAATTGAAATGGCACCCTTTCATTTACAAATTATTGTACTCAATACTTGGAAAAAAGTTTTGATAATCTTGGCTATATTACGCGACACCACTTCATTAAGTTTAACTATCATTGATAATTTTGTAAAACCCCTCTATTTTAATATGGACTGGTACGTGTAAAAAATAATTGATAAATATATAAATGCAAAATTTCATAAGATGATATCGTTCAAACGAAAATGTCGTTTGTTGAGACATTTTACTTCTTTTCAATGAATAAAACATTTGTTTATGATATTCTCTTAGTTGATTTCAACCGTTACAATGTATATAGATCGTTAGTTTATTTTCAGTTATTTAAAAAAGACTTTATTATCGATTGTAAAAGTTAAATAACTTTGATGATAATTTCGACTTACAAGCACTACTTTTGGGTACATACATATCCTGTATCATTTCATTCTATGTCAGTTACATATAAAATGATGTACTACTGTATAAATTAATAAAAGAGGATCTTAAATTTGTGTGTTTACAAAATTGAACTGGTTGGGTAATTATTATCTGGCTTTTCGAACTTAATTATCCATGTATAATCTATTTATAAACTTCAAAGAAGGGAAGTGATATCAATGCAAGATGTAGTTTGACATCGGTTTACTTATACCAGACAAGTCCTTTCCTTCACTGTACATCAGCGTCTTCTTGGTTAATACATTAGAACATTTATTGTAGTTAGATAGCTTTAGTAAATCGAAAGATCATACAACCTACTTATGGATATTTCCGCATTCTTCTAACAATATTGATTTGGTTGTGGTTATTTTATAAATATGTAAACGTGTTTTTTTTCTTGAAAATTATATCTACACTTATTAACAAATGAGTTTTTGTAAATTTGTCCTTATGAGGTGTGTCGTTTATGTTTGGGTTATTTATAGAAAACAAGGAAATTTGGTAGTAGAAAACTAATAACGTTTCAGTTTTGCCTTTAAACAAAATATTGTGCTGTTTGATTTATGCTTATGATAAAAAAAAGAAGAAATTACATAAATTATGTGCCTGTTGTGATTTTTTACGGTGCTTTTTTATTGCTTAAATTAGTTGTACTCATTTTTTATTTGCTAAGACATATCTTTTTTTGTTGTCGTAACGTATTTCATTGAATTTATTCCAAAAACTTATTTATTCTTTCAAAGCATTTTTCTTTATGTTTAGTTACTCCATTGCTAATTTATCTTGTTAATTTCACCTTCCTGTACTAATATGGTAGAATAACTTGTATTGATATACATTTGTACCATATCCTATAATGATTATAATTGACTGGTATAACCTTTTTCCTGGTACTCAATGTACTTACTTTAAGTAAACATATTATCATCCTATAAGTATATTTGTGATTAGTAAGTTGATCAACCGTTAGCGAAAAAACGCGTTATTAACAATAACATTTATTTAAAGCATATTTTAGTGGTCATTCTTTCCTATTCTGCTCATGTTATGAATATGATTATCAGTAATAGATTGTGTTCTGTGTTTTCATGGCTTTGTAACTATACTACTGATAAATATAATTAAGTTTAAGGTGTGATCGCTTTTTCTTTAATAATTCAGTGTAAAGTTTAAGTTAATAACAACTCAGAAATATTTCTCAGGTGATATTCGTTTGTTATTTTCCTTTAATACAATTTATAATCGATTGAGAGGATCGATAATATCTGATCTTAGAACGTATACATAAACCATATTATTGATTAATGTTAATAATTGACCAAGTATAATTTATATACTCAACTTTAAGCCATACTATTTTTATGAGAGCTTGTTCATACGACCTGGCTAGAATAAGTTAACCTATTCTGTTTCTGGCGATTTCGAATTAATTTTCATAGAAACCTGATGGATTTCATTGATTTAGTATTTGCTTTTAATTCATGCTATGATTGTTGTCATTATCATCACAATATAACATTCTCAACTGGAAATATTTTGTTGTGTTCGAAGAAAAAAGCATAAATGAAAAAATGTTATGTTTGTTTAGTTAAAATAATTCATTATCATTGAAATCATGAGCCAGATTAGCTCCATTGGTCACGGCTTCTCACTAGAATACCAGAAACTTCCTTTCGTAGCTAGTCACCAGTGGCCACATGACAGTTGTCAGTATGGGGTTTTGGAGATTGTTGAACTTCATTAGAATCCGTGTCAGATATGAGGTAGTTACTCGCCAAACACAATGGAAGATGATCACTCAATGTTGTTGCGTGATTAAGGTTAGACATTAACACTGTTGAATGCTGGCTCAGTGGTTTAGAGGTTAAGCATTCGTGCGCGAGACGATAGGTTTCAGGCTCGATTCCTAGTTGCGGAGTCGTGAATGTGCACTACTGGGAAGTCTAGGAACAGAACGAAACGGCCATCTAGTGCTTTCAGGTTTTCAATCATGATCTAGCTTAGATAGGTTCATGACTTCAATGGAATTCGACAAACTCCACAACCCCATACTGAAAATAATTCATTATAACTTTTATACCGTAAAACGATTTTAACAAAACTATCAAGTGCGTAATATTCTTATGCATAGTTTAAGTCATACCAGTTCTCAAGGAAAGAATAAATATAAAATATAGTTAGCTGACCAATAACTTCGATATTTTGGTCAACAGCAGGAAGTGTATCAAGCATCATATTAAATAGTTTGGTAGAAATCACTTGTAGTAATTTCAAGTCCTTGTCTAGAAACTTCACAATGTAGTGTATAAACTAGGTTGTAATTTTATAATACCAGGATTATGTTGAGTTACAGCTACGAGACAATATAAGTGATACAAATTATCTGAAGACTATCAAACTATAGATTTTTATTTAGTGTAAATATGGTTACACCGTCCTCATCTATGTAGTAGTCTTGTCTTATTTTTCCTAAGGTAATAAATATTACACAATGTGATGTAGCTCATCGAGTGCAGATCTATGTACTCGACTTTTAGTCACAATTTGTGTATGAGGTTTGGTGCTATTATACGGCCATCCAAAATGAAGTAATAAAGGGGGTCTTGAACGTGCGACTTAGTTTTTGAAATTCGTGCCTCTTAATTACTAAGTCACCGATCTAAAAAGAGCATTGTACAAACCAATAGGCAATTTTTTTCTAGTAATCAGTTATTACACATTTCATGAAACATAAAATTTTCATTAATTTCATTTCACCACAGTTATAAAATTGTATTTCATATCTTTGTAGAGTTTGTGAATTTATATATGTGTGTATGTACTGTATATCACCAAATTTTAAAGAGTTTGTCTAGAAAGTCAAACTAAATTTCATACATAACGTATTTGTTCTACATAAAACATGCTTAGAAATTGGTGTTACATTTACAAAAAGAAAGAATAACTTTTGATATTTATGTAATTAAGAATTAAGCTATCATATCGCTATCGTTATGTACGGTGGTATTTGTACCTTGTTTTAGTAATAATTGTAAACAAGTGTTTGCTTTTCTTACTGTATACTAACTCCTCATTTAACAAGTTCATATCATGATTTCAATTGGCACTGTTCGTTTGTTGTTCTTTTAACCACTTATTTTTTTCTCAAGAATTCATTTGCATGTTTTCAATATATCTTTGTGTATAATTTATTACGTTCAAATGTATTTGTTTACATAGTGAAATACTTATTTTTCTTTGTTTTAGATATAAATGTTACCTTATTATAATACAATAGGTCATAAGTGTAGTCGAAATATTCTACTATATTATATATATATATATATATATATAGTTAACGTTACACTTTGCTTTTTTTTTCTTGTAAGGGTTTTTCTCATTATTTTTTTTCTCTACGTTCTTTGTAACCTTATACCAATTCAACTTGTTTTACTAATGTAACCATTTCTTTTTTCATTTGTTGATGATGTCATTCTTCATTACTGTTACTAGTTAGTTGCTGAATAATGATTCATCATAAAATCAAAGTGGAAATTTATCGTTGTTTACCGACTAGTATATATGTTATGCATCTCGCTTTGGTTACTTTTTGGGATTTTTTTATAATACAAATCAAAGATAAGCCATGTATGTTTTATGTATTCTTTTTTTGAAGATAAAAGACTCCCTTTTCATATGATTCTGTTTATTTTACCCTTTAAGTTCATTTCCTACATTAAATGTTACGTATTGAACTTGAAACAAGTATTTCTAAGAAAATCAGGTCATTGTTTAAATTAAATAGTTTAATTAGATAAGATAAAACACTATAATCTTTTACGAAATAAGTTCAAACCTCGCACCATCTACTATGGCTTTGATTGATTGATAATATTACTATCCTTCAGATAAAAATTATGATTTAGTTTCTCTTAAGGCAACTTGTATTTACTTATCAATTTAACACGATATTTATAAACCTAACGAATATCAATTCTTTGCATTCTATGCACAGTTTCTTGTCAAACGACCACCTAATTTAATTTAGATAAATTAATATTATAGTGTTTTTAGAAGTACTGTTATAAAAGTATACACATTAGAATATCCAGTTTGTTATGGTGTTCGCTTTATTTTTTTAATGATTGTTTTTACGAAAACACATAGAAACTAATTCGATACCTTATTATTTTGCTTATGTTTTGTGAGATACGTTTTCATTTATTCTCTCGTAAATTTTGATAGTTCACTTACCATTTATTGAGTTGTATTACTTATTTTGTTTATGATATAATCACTTTATTTTTAAAATTTAGAAACTAAGTTTGTTGCTCGTTAAGTAAGACTCATTTAATCCTTTTTTGGCTGATGGATTAATTCGTAAATGTATACTGATATCGATGATAAGTTCGCATTCATGTTCCAGTTTTTATTTGCACATATGCTAATCTTACTGTGTCCCACCTCATATATGTTGTTCTCAATATTCGGTTATTTTGACCACGCGATTTATATTCCATTGTGTAGGGGGTTATTGCCGCACCGTTGTGTGTCACTCTCCCGAACTCTCGAGATCGCATTGGATCCCGTTCGAATCTTTATTCTTCGTAATTAAGAATTACCGTCGGCTAGGCGGATCACAAAATATTACACCAAGTTGTCTAAAGTTTCTGTACGTAGCAGCAAACAGAAATTTCTAAGACGTTTTTTCCAATTATGATATAGTTTGTCAGTGACCTGTCCCACTAATAGCACGTCTAGAAAATGATCTAGAATGTAAACCCTATTCCGCAAATCATTGTTGTTGTAGTTTTTCAACAAACCTTGGTACACCAAAACCCTGTTATTTTCCGTCTATTTCTTTACTTTCAGTAAAACAGCTGATTATTGTATATAAGTAGTTAGCTACTAGACGTCCATAATAGACGTCATTACTTTCTTGAAGAATAGTTTCCTTTCTTTGTCATGAAAAAAACAAATTTTCAATCTTAACCAAATGCTTAAATAATATCATAAATGCCATCGAAATCATGGACCGATTAATATTAGACCACCATTGGAGACCCAGAAGCACGATGTCTGTTTTAATATGGCATGGGACTCCTCAGCAGAGCATCCACTACCTCACACCTGAGAGTCGAATCCAGGACTTTCGGTCTTGAGCAGATGCCTACCCTTAAGACCAACGAGCTGGCATCCGACAGTGTAAATGTCTATCATCAGCCAATTTACGAAGTTGCACGACTATCTTCTATTGTTTTCAGCGAATAATTGCCTCACACTTCATACGGTTGAACTCAGTTAGTCACGGTTTCTCACTAAAAATTCAAGAGCTACCTTTCGTAACTAATCAGTATTTAACACATGATAATTTCTGGTATGTACTTGCAAAAACTATTGAATCTCTTTTCATGGGAGTCCTACACTAGAACGAAATAGCCGTCTATTTCTTACAGGTTTCTAATTGAGGTCTAAAGTTGATCGGTTCATGATTTTGATGAAATTCTACAATCTTCACAATCTCATACTGTAAATAGTGTAAGAAAATTTCGTGTTTATCAATTCCTGATTGACGTTATTTGTTAACTTTTGTTATTGTTAAAGTTTCTCCCTTTATATCTTACTTGATCATTAATAAGAATGAATGAGGATCAGCTGATGATTTAAAATAATCATTATGATTATTATCATTATTATTTTTTTAATCCATCAAAATAAATGAAATTCTTGCAGCTCATTACTTCCTATACCATATAGGCAACAATAACGATAAAATTATTTCTCTAAATATGATACTTTGGTTGTCTAAAGAATAATCTATTAATCTTTCTATGGTTTCTATTTCAAGTTATTAGATGCGCTTTCTTTTTACTGATTTTTATGGTAGATTTATTGATAAGATTAGTAGGATTAAACATCATATTAAAAGTAATAAAAAACATAATAAGGGACTTATTTTATTTTAACATGCTACTCATATTTGTGTTGTTTTGTTCATTCTCATATATTATTTTTTGTTTGTTAATATTATGAATGTCCAGTTGAAAAAAAAGAGAGTTACTTTGAGTCGATCTAAGCTAGATCACAATTGAAAATCAGGTTTCCAGTGGTGATCTAATTTAGGTCGACTCATGTATCCAAATATTAAAATCACTAAAATCTCCACAAACTCCCCTTCTGATATCAAATTGTTGTTTCTATCTTGGTCTCTACATAGTGTGAAATAGTTTGGTCTACGTTTTTTTTAATCACTAGTTTTATTGACGCTTTTATTTTCTCTTCATACAGCTGGAAAATCCTCTAATTACATGCACACCAAGTGCGAGTAACTCCATTGCTACTAGTTCGTCTGATGCGACTATTACTACTACTAGCACTACACTTACTACTGTCATTCCAAATGAGAAAAACACTTCAACTTTAAATAGTGATGCCAACTGTGAATCAATGACATCCATTACTGAGGATATTGACGATCGTTCACCTAATTGTCATTCTGAAGTAAAATCCGATACAGAAGATGTTTATGAATTCATTGAAGCAAATGGTAAAAAGTATCGACGTCATTTTCAACGACGTGTTGTCATTGAACGGCATAAAGTTAGAGAAGTAAGTAAATCTCGTTATTCTTTTTCTCTTTGTTTGTTAGTTTCTTTTTCTGCATTTTACAAATTGATTAAAATTAGTTCTGAAAGATTGAAAACAATGCGTGCTTTTTTCTCTCTCTTAATATCATTCAACAATATACAACGTCAGTATAATTGAAAATCATGAATTCACTGTTGTATTTTCTAATCATCAAAAAGACATTTATTTATAATTCGTGTAGGCGTCCAATTTGAGACATTACAGTTTGCTATTGTAGCATAGATTTAATATATTGAATTTAGCTTCTCGACTAAATCTCAATATCATACCTCCTCTGCTTACAAGTTATCGAAAATTTCCATTTGACATACTAATGATAATAATAACAATAGAAAAAATGTCATGTTAAAACCATTTTATAAGTTAAATATAAATAAATTGTTTCTTTTCTAAGGTATTTTTATTAGTTAAAAGTCGTAATTCATGCCTACTATTTTCCGATATTCTACACTATCGATTAACTGATACTTTAGTGGATGGAGTTGTATTGAATCTGTTAACTCTAAACTTCCGATTGATTTAGGTCTGCATTGTGTAGTACATATATACTTTACATCATTGGTTTAGTATCTGTTTTTTATTTTTTGGTTCACTCATTTGATATCTACCATATTACTCTCGCAGTTTTTTTTTTTAAATCTTGAGTGATTTTCAAAAATCAGCTCTTTTCCTCTCTTCAGGTACTTGTTTGCTGAATAACTATATCATTTTAATTGTAAAAGACTTTTAGGTTGTTTTGAAATTAGTGATTTGAATTATAACTAGTTTAACATAAAGATGCAGTAATCCTTACAGTTCCTTGTACGCATGACTAAACTATGACTACAGTACTTTCTTCGGTCAACTTTCATCTGTTCAGATTCTATTTTGAAGTTAATGACAATCTGCCACCATGTGACCCGAAAATATCTTCATTTGTTAATAAATTTGGCAAAATTTGTGTTCTGGATTATTCCTTGCTTTCTGTTAATCTCAGGAGCATTATCAAAACTTGAATATTTCCAAGTGTTAGCCATCTGTTTTGTGAAGTGTTATAATTCGTTGTTTTTCCGCTGTTCTAAAGTAATGTCAAATATTTACTTCTTACAGCTTTGTGCACTACATATATATATCACTTTCAGTCGATAATCATTTATATAAGAATTCAACGTGACTATTTTTCAATGTTACATGGATCAATTTTTTGTCATTTTTTCCGTCAGATTATATTAGCACCATCACTTCCAGATGGTATGGGACCAGATCTTAATCGAGTTACACTCAGCCGATCTGATCAGATAGATGGTAAATCCGTCAACAACAATAGTAATAATGAAGTTATTCCACCAATTGATAAATTATCATTAAATAACTCTTGTAACTCTTCTTTAAATCATATCAATGCATCGAACTCTCCTGAATTTAAACCTCGATTCGGAAAATGGAATATTTCCTGTAATAATGCTGCTAATGAACGCAACGATTGTATGGATCATGACGATTTAGAAGAATCCCAGTTCACCACAGCTGACGCTGGACCACCTAAACCATCTTTACCGAATGAGAAACCATGTAAGAGATTATTGTATAGTTTTAAATTTTGTTTGTAAAACATCCTATTTTACTAATAAAAACTATAATCTACAAATGTCACAGTAATATATATATATATATATATATATATATATATATATATATAACCAGAAGATTGTAATCAGTTAAAATCTAACTGTATGTCTGCTACACTGCCTCACAATTTCCAAACTAATAATAAATGGATACCAAGCCAACAAACCTATAATTGTATAGATCACTTAATAACTTTCTTCATTCATCTATTCAATCATAGGATAGATTGTTATCCATTTGACTATCGCATCTCAACTTATAAATATGATATTGTTTTTTCAAGAATAGTATGTCATCAACTAAGTGAAATATGCTGTACATATATGTAGTTTCGTCACATCAAAATATAATTAGGTTACAATAGTATAATTATGTATTGTTTACTAGGGAAAAGTATTTCATAATTAATGTACAGAAATGTGATTGCATAATAAATGCTGATTGACTGTATAAATAAATATCATAAACACACTTGAGTATTTTATTTGTTTTACAATTTTATTGATAGATTAAAATGTAGAAATTTATTAGCTATCATAATATGACTATTAAACCGGTTAATTCTCTATCAGTATTCGTAGTTTCGCAGTTTTTTAGCTTTTTACTGTTAAAAAACTTACGGTATCCCTCTGATTGTATTGTTACAGCAACAAATAGAATCAGATCTGTCATACATCACAGATAATGTACGACATGCAGGAAAAAATAGTAATTACCAGCCTGTATTTGTTTGTTCTCATTTGATATGTTGGACACTTTTCATTTTTCTTCATTTGGATGATATCATAAAAAGACTTAAAAATTAGTATGTATTGAAAACCAATTTAATATATTTCCCATGTTCACTGAAAGATCACGATCTGAATAGATTTGAATTGGATTTCCTTTAACTGTAGCTAAAATGTTTAGTTCGGTTGGATTTCAGTAGTATATTAAACATATCATCATTGATGAAATCTTTAACGTTTTTTTATGTATGCTTGAATTACTCTGCAAAGCTTATTGACAAATGTTTGCCTCCATTATATATAATCTCATTTCAGTGATTAGTTATATGTTTCGATTCGGATCATCTGATTGTGACAACCCAGATGATGAACGACGTTTATCTGATCGATTAATTGATTTTTTCCGTGATCAATGGTTAAAAGAAGAGTCTGCAGCAGGACCACATGAACGTAAAAAAGTTATTTCTTATACACAAAGTTATACACAACCTACAACCAATGGTGATTTTATTCATAAATCAACGTGGATTCAACATACATGCACAGTTCGAATGGTGAGTTATGTAACTATTTTTCTCATAAATCTATAACCACGTTAACCACTAATCTCATTTTATTTGATATTAATTAGTTCAAATAAATGAAAAGAATGTAAATGGAATTGTGATCCGTACACTATGTACTCATTGCTTTATGAATTAACAATTTAAATCTAAAGATTAAAATGTGATGCATTTCATGTAGGTAATTTGGTAATAAATAAAAATATGTTATGTATGCAAAGTTATTCAATATATTATATAATTTCACAGAGAAATTGTTTTAATAATATTGTTTTTATGAAGTTATCTGAATCCACTTATTTTTTTAATTTTTAGTAATCATAATGGTGAATAAGTTCAGCGGTTTGTTTACATTCTTTTTTCTCGGTTTATTTGTATTTTGAAAGAGTGACTAATCCTTACCTTCTAAAGTACATGATTTAATAGACCTCTTTATATAAGGTATCCAATTGAATGTGATTTGTTAGCATATTCTCTAGTGCTGTTAAATGTATGCCGGTGGTTTTCACATTCCGGATTGCCCACATTTTTGAAAGATAGTTTTTTTCAGGTACCTGAAAAAAAACCGGGTTACGGGTGGTCCTGACCACCTGGCTGTATTACTGTAGAGCCTAAGGAGTTACTCGTTGAGGCTGGCCACACATGAACTCTGTACGAATGGTTCGTGAATTGACAGCTCCGTATATTAAATGCCTTATCTTTGGCGATGGAAATCTACGGAGAAAGGTGAGGTGTACCATCTTTAAGATCGATCTTTTCGAACCCCAACTCTCTGTTGTGAAAATATAGCATCGTACCGCATGCTGGTTGTCTGAGGGAATCACTGTACTACCATCAAACTTTGTGCAGTCATCAGAATGACTTTGATCTCGGGCCCTAACCTATTAATTTTAGTGTTACTGTTCTTCGACCAACTTATTGAAAGAGTGTTCCAGCCAATATATCTTAATTAGTTGATCACAATATCTAACCACAATCAGCATGCCAGAGCAACAGCTACTGTTAGATTTGTAAGCTTAATTGACTTGTTAAACCAAATCAAATTGTTGTACCCAGTCTTTCATATCCCATATATTGTTTATTACCTGTACACTGAAAAATATGTAATTGTGTCTCTACCCAAATTGTTAACGGATTTTAATACATGGTAGATCTAGATCATTGTAAATATACACTGGTACATGCCGCTAAATAATGAGAATTTTTGTTATTCTTGTTAAAAATGATACTGAATTCCAAATAAATTCAATGATTATAAAAAAGATACTAATATTGGTGATATATTTAGAAAATGATCACATACAAATGTATAGAACGCTTTTGCGGGAAATTCGAACTATGAACTTTCCGAAGAAACACTGATACCCACTTTTTAAATGTCATTGTTTTCATAGTTAAGTTGATCAGAAATCTTGGATCTGAGATAATTTAGACCAATAAGGTCATGTATAGCATGAAATGATAGTGGGAATAAACATTCAAAGTTATTTTATTGGTAGCATCTTCGTTACTGAAAATCGTTACAGAGGAATCATTATTCCAAATGTAAATTGACCCGGGGACTCAGAGTTATAAGTGAGAATGAAAGATGTGACTATTGGTTTCCTAGTTAGACCTGTGGTCTTACTCTTACTTGCCAATTTCAGTCATTGATTTTAAAGATTATGATCTCAGAGCACTCACCATTTTCGAAATAGCAATTAGTCATTGGTGAAGTCAGATGAACATCAAGCTGTTAAAATAGTGATAAGAAACGAAATAACTTTATTGTAAAAATTACGTCTGGTAACTCTTTTAATATACATTTAATATACCTTTCAAAAGAATAGAATATTTCGCTCGAGATAGCATTAATACAACTTTTTATCAATACTTTGTTCTGTAACTTGTAACCGAAAAATCTTCCGTTCATTTTAACTGATAACATAAATATCCAAACTATGAATTAGTTAATAGTTTCATAGATTTTGATTACAATATACTCATTTTTCAATCCAGAAGCATTTGCTTTTAAAGTAGAAAAAATCACCCTTCACAATATCTTTTTCCGAATGTGCCGTTGAATAAAAGCTGTTTTTTTCAGGCTTCATTTCATCTAGTCATTTTATCCCGTTTCCGTGGACTTTTTACGAAAGAACTGTTATACTGGAATGATTGATGATTACAGATAGTTATTCACCGAACCAATCTTCGTATTCTGAGGGAATATTAAGAAAATAAAAGCCTTGTCTGTCTAACTGAATAGTGTATACTAATGAAATAAACCTGTCAATTATACACAGAAAACTTAGCTTAGAAAGTATAAATTCGAATCACTTAGTTTTTAAGAAGACAATAGACTGAAAACGAAAACTTGAATCATTTAGAATCTGCTAAATCTAAACTTTTGATTGAAATATTTAAATTCGTAGAAAAGTATTACTAATATTTATAAGTAATGCAATTAAGTGGTCAGTCATATAGAAGCAACTATTTTTATGGTGAATAATCAAAATAATCCTGTTGTGATGCTTTGATTACTTTGTTTTAATTTCGTTGTTTATATAAGCACATTTTACAAATAACGTTTTGGTAATTATTTTAGTTTTTATATTCTATTCCAGGTTGGAGGTCTTCAAGGATTAAAAGCTCAGGTGGGTTCAATGTATTTTGTTTATTAAAAATTTGTATTATGCTATTATAATTTCACCTTTAGGTGACCATCAGTATGTATGAGATTAGACAAGCCACACAGTTGGATGGAATAGAAAAAGATTGATAAAGTATTTCCTGTTAATCAAAATAAACAGTAAACATCTGTAGTATAGATGACTCATTACTTCGTTAAAAAAATGTGGTTAACTCCAAGGTATTTAAATCATGTTTTATATTGTTACCAGATATTTAAAAGACATAGGAGGTGTTATTCATTAAACAATCTTTTACATAATACATTTAGTAAACAAACTATCATGCTATTATCTTTAATTTTAAGTAAGTCACGAAGTTGTGTCGTCGTTATTATTTTTCGTGCTTGTTTTTACTACTTACAACTTTTCAGTAGCGACAATTTAAAAATGAATTTTTAAAGTTGATTATATAAACTGTTAGTCGAATGATACAGGATAGTATCCTTTTCGCAGTACATCAATCCAGCGAAACTCTGCATTGGGAAGCAGATTTTAGCTTACATTTGCTATAAATCACATATTAGATTCTCAGAGAAAGAAATATTAATCAAAAACTTTATACATATTTTGGTTTGTAGTTACCAGTGGTTGTGTCTTGTATTTCCATCCTACTATTTTTACTCAATACTCTAATACTGGAGGTAGAACAATGCTGTTCATTTTCTCAAACTATTAAAAATTTCTTCGTTATGACTAAAAGAACTCAATTCAGGGGTACATTGTTGTTATTTAGTTTTCTCCAACATCGCCTTTCTTACTGTTCTCAACAAAATATAAACTGACCGTTTCAATTATTAGTTTTCTCACAATCTGATTCATTTATTTAGTATATAGTTAATAAAGTTTATTGTATATATTTTTAATTGGCCTTACAATTGTTTCCACATTATCGCGTTTATCTTCTCTTTTCAATCAATGGCACAACTATTTTTATTGCGCCTAATTTATTTGGCTGTAATAAAAAGTATCATTGAGTGTTTCATGTATCGTATCAAATTAAAATGTAAACTGTTTTCTATCCATTTTTTATTTCATGTACAAGTTCATCATTATTGATAGACATCTTACAATTCATTCCATCTAATTATTATTTGCTTAAATCCAGTTTTGAATAATAGCTATGTATAAAACACGTTTGTAACTGGAAAAGTAAAAGTAGTATACTGAACGATAATTCGGTAGAGAAAACCAATTTATTGTTGAATGCAAGATTACAGCGTGTTTTCGTAAAATATAAAAACCATACATTAAATACTTTATTTTCATATCTTCCTTCAGTTGATCTTTACTTGCTTCATGACTCTTTCAATTCTGTTGTTATTACAATTGCTTTTTGTTTTCCTTTCTATTCTCTTCAATTCAATTTTCTGTTGCCAGGCATTCTACTTCCAATTACTGCTACATTCTACTTTTATCTACCAGCATAAGTAGCATGCACTACAGTACAAACATACACCTAAATGTAAATCTTAATCGTCTTTTTTTCCTATATAGTAAATATTTGGTTTGTCAAATAATTTTTTTAATTTCATGCTCAAAATACTTTATAATGTTTATAACAATGAAATTTATTTATTGAATAACGTATGAATGTATTTTTACGAAAATCATTATTGACTGCTTAATAAAATAATTTCATTAACTGGTATCTTAAAATACATGTAGAAAGTTCACTTAAAAGAAAATTCTGAACTTCGTGTATAAATGGTTTTTCTTTTCTTCTCAATGTTACTATAAACATATTACTGAATAAATTGTCATTTGTGTACCGTAGGTTGGAATGTATATTAAAATTTCCTGTAACTCTGAAGTAATCAACAATATCAGTATAGGTTTGTGAAGATTGTTGAGTTTTAATTGAGATAATGTGCCGATCAATCATGGATTGCTTGAATTTAGACATTAACACCATTGTATACCGGTTCAGTGGTCTAGACTGTATGTGTTCGAGCGCGAGACCAAAGGTCCTGGGTTCGGGTCCCGTGTGTGGGATCGTGGCTGCGCGCTGCTAAGGAGCTCCACACCAGAACGAAACGGCCCTTCAATGCATCCAAGTTTCCAATGGCAGCCTAACATTGATCGGTTCATGATTTTAATAGCCAATAATAGTTACTTTCTTCAGTTGACTATATTTTACTGAGTTGTTTTGTAAACGTTCATTAAATCTAAAGTAAATTTTCATCGCAAATTGATACTAACTGCTGAACCATTGAAAATTCAAGAAGTAAAATATGATTCTAAGTTTTGTTCCAGTTGTTTAACTCAATCTATTGATATAAGCATAACACTAAAAAAAATATTCAGTTCATATGTGTAAATGACGGTAGAGAGGGTTTGTAGTTCAGATAGATGTTTCATTGTAGTGTTTCGTTCTCCATATTTAATTCCGAATCTTACACTGTCTTTTCACATAATTTCACAAGCCCCCTCTCTTTGCAAAAACAAACCTTTTAACCTTTATCAATCTTTTCCATTGACATTGTGGTTGTAACATACAACTACATCATACAAGTGAATCAAACGTCTTACCATAAAATACATATTTTATTTTCGAAATTTGAACTTAAAAAGTCGTCACTAGATTCCATATTTCTAAAAAATTGTAATTTAATGAAATAGGAGAATATATCTTTGTCAGTTGAAATGTTTGAAATTGTTTTCTGACGAAAAGACTGCTTCTCAAATATGTCCCATTTCAGAACTCTACTTTTCTCTCGAATAAGATTTCTCGTGATTAATCTTTTCTACTAATAATAATTCCGGTACGTCTTACACTGCTCTGACATATTGTTATATAAGTGTGATGTTGCCACCTGAACCGATGCATATATGTGCCATGTCCTACATTGCGTATGATTCACTGACTAAAGGCTGTGTAGGGAATTATAGCGTTTGCCTGATTACTCTTGAGAAGTTACGGTCAATTGAAATCACATACCGAGGGGTTTCTGACATGTATTTATGGTCCTAATTTTTCGTCGAAACATCAAAAAACTCTTCTGAAGCTTATTCCTTTCACCAAATCATATTGTGCGTTTAATCTAATAGTAGACTTTTGATCGTTTAGGCAAAATAAAAAGATTACGGACATTCAAGTTTACTAGACTCATTCGTTTTCACTGATCCATAGGTAAGGAGCATAGCCTAATGGCTAAATAAGTAGATGAATATTGTAAACTATAATAGGATCAGAATATTTGTAATGAACGAGAACTCAGGTGGAAGATAACCGATTCATTATTCCATACAAAACTACAGAATGTCTTGGTAAAATATGAGAACCTTACATCAAATGCTTCATTTGCAAATCTTCCATCAATTGTCCTTTACATTCTATCTGATTCTTTCTGTTCATAATTATTTTCTATTTCCCTTTCTGTTTTCTTTAGTTCGATCTTCTTAGCCTTGTGCTGCCAGCTATCCTATCTTTGATTGGTGTTACATACTACGTATGTAGACAGACATAAGTAGCATACACCACATATTACTTCAACAAAAAATGATTGTGTTGTATTAATTAGAATATATGAAAAAGGATATTTGAGGTCATCTGATATCAGGATGTTATATTCATCGGATCGCCACTATCCTTTAAGTATTTTTCTATGAAACCATGGGATAATTCTTGTAGAAGTAGTGATCCTATGTAACGTAAATCAATCCATAGTCATCAGTGTTTTCACTATAAAAGTAAACCTTAAGTATCTCAGTTTAGTTTGTGGCATCCTTTTCTATGATGTTCATACTTCTTTTTGAGGGAGATATTTTGGACTATATTGTTTGTCTGGAGTTAAAATAAGTTTCAGAATATAAATTTCTCAGTCATATTTTGCAATTATTCTCACGAGACTCGTTTAAGTGCTTTCGCTATTAAAATTTACACTGCTGTACTGATATAGTATGACAACTTCAACCTATAAACATATGTGACAGGTTCTACGTTGCTTATTACTAACCGATTCAAATCGTGATTAAAAAAATCATGTTATTCTTTAATTTCATACTTAATTTAGTTTTGATATTTCCTCTTTCATTTAAAACTCCTAATGTTGACATCTCATTCGTTGAGTGTGGCTAATAAAATTCAGTGGGTTTTTTTTCATAGAAGTGTTTGATTTTCCCTGACTTGTTTAATGATGGAATTGATATGTTTGTCATATCGTATGTCTTCGTAGAATACATAATATTTACCAGTTAACATACATTTAAAAGTAACGGACTGGATGAAATTTTCATTGAAAAAATTTAGCTTTAGTAAACATAGATGATTATGTGTGTGAAGCAAAGCTTTCATGTGTAGATGTGTATAAGGGTGACTTGTTAGATTTTCTAAATTCCATTTGTAACATAATAACAATAAAGTACTCGATATCAATGATAAATATGGTTATGATAAATCTTATGGATATTCTTGTGTAGACTTCTAAAAATAGGGTTATTTATTTCATTGAGTGTATGTGCATGAACATATGCTTACTTGGTGATATAATCTCCTACTAATTAACAAAAAGATAATTAAAATCTCGATCTGTATGCATGTACATTAATTTGTCTTTTAAAAATCACCTCTATGTCGCCATTCCCATCTGCAGTTGCATTACAACATGTTAATTCTGTAATCTTTTTCTGCTCACAAATGCTATCTTCTCTCATTGATGTTTGGTGTTAATCCACACTGAAAATTCATTCAAACTGAATACATGGTTATGTAACAGTAGATCAATAATTGCATGATAAATATTACATATGAATATATATGTACTGGTGTTTCTCTATCTATATTTATTGCTTGTCAGTACTAAAATCATGAGTGAATGCGAACTTACACAACCGTATCTTTTCAGTTTGTTATATTTAACAAGCGACTGATTATAATGATTGAAATATTGTTTATTCAGTTATTTACTATGATTCATCTGATTTACTGACTGACAAGCGTAAGTTTAATAATCACTATATATATACGTGTGATATGCATAAAATGTGGATTACTGAACAACATATCAATATGTAACTGGAGCACTACAGTATTATTTCGATTGATAACATTTTATGTTGTTAATGATTGTCGTACCAATAATCTGTTTTTCGGTAAGTAAGGAAAAATATTTGATTAAACTTTATATATGTACATTTATTAGTCATTAAATTTGTACTGCTCAAGAATAAAGATAATTCCAAACATCATTCATTTTGATTAGAAAGTCTTATTAAATTACTTGAGAGTTTTTGGAAAACTCTTAATGAACACCTTTATTAGTGTAAAATTAAGCTAGTTCGTAGTCAGTTTGAACATTTATAGTTTCAAGTTAAATGAATGACGTAAACAGAAAGTATTTAATTAATCAAATCTCTAATTGTTTACCAAGTATGCAGTCAGTATTTCATTTTTAATACTTTTGTTGGTACATGAGAAATACCTATTCAAATGTAGCTTAATATCTTAAATCCACTATCTCGAGTTACATATATAGGGTTCAAAGCCGTATTACCTATCCGCTGTTTATTTATCATATGTTCACAATAGAGAGTCTGTTTGAATTCTGCTTTTTATAATGTAAATAATTCACTGAATTGTCGTACATGTTGGTGATACAACTGGTTAACTAAGTACACGTTCATGTACCTGACCCAATGTTAGACTTTCATGTAAGCACTAATGATACTACATTGCTAATATAGAACCAAAATAGGGAGAATGTACTTTTTTTGTAAATGTATCTCAATGGCTAGAAGTTTAGTTACTTGTGTTTTACGTGAGCTGACTTATTGTATATGCAGTTTGAAAGTGGAATATGGCTACAATTTGCACATTAAGCACTAGGTCGATTGTGAGTAATGCTTTTAAAAAAAATTCATATGATAGTTTTTGTAAAGCATTTAATGTTTGTATATACCTTAAAATAGCGAACTATTCGTATCATAAATATTGAAGTTGTTGGTACATTGTGTTTTGGTGGGTTGATTTTCAATTATTATTCACATTACATACTTGTTAACTTGATAAGTGAAAAACATACTTCTTGATATGCAAACTGAAATTAAAGCAATTTTTCTCAGTAGTACAGTCAAACTCAAGAAATAAATATTTTCTGATTTTTCGTTTTGTAACTGGGATGGTTTAATTAACAGGACTTCATTCTCATTCTGGATAAAAACAAATGTATGTAGGCGCAGATGATGTTACTTAAAACAACATTAAACGCTTCTCAATTAAACTCTGCAGTTCAGAAAACACAACACCACGAAATACATAATTCCGAGCTGAAAAATCCAGAATAAATTTTTAAAATACTCTTATATCTCCACGATCTTCATCTTCCTTTAACATTCTATTCACTTTAAAAATGTTCGGGAAATAAACTTTTTCTGGGACAAATCAGCCCATCTTTATGATTGATTCATTTCAGTTACACTAAGAACGATGATAGAATAAAATTCTCATAAAGGCGTTTCAAATCTAAGACAGTAAATTATCGTTCAATTCTATGTTCAGCTTTGAAAATAAACGTTCTTAAATCTTGCATTAGATATTGAGCAATTGTATTTGGGTTTACGTGCATGAATTCTAATGGAATTCTGCCTTATTTCTGATAAAGAATATACAATAAGAAAAATTATCCATAGCATTTTTCCTAAGTATAAAACTGTTTTCTTTATAGGTATTTATTTATTCTTTGTTAACCATAGAATGAAATCAACTTTCTCTGCCTAATTTCAATAAACTGTTCTAAAATTTGGATAAATCAACTAGGTTGCGTGCGATAGTCATGGAATGTTGAAAATACGATTTGATATTTTGAATTGTTATTAAATATAATAAAAAAATATAATAGTTATCTCTTTGTTTAGTTTTATACGGTTCCTGCAGGTTTTTGTTGATTTCAGTAAAGCTCGAACACTATTCATAGTAGATTCATTTCTATCATCAATTCCCTTCAGCTTCTTACAACCAACAAACAATAGTATGAATTAACAAAAAAAGAAAAAACAAATGTATACATGTTATATTATCTCATTTACAGAAATTCCTAATCAAGGTAGATTAGTAGAAACTAATAAATATGTAAGAATAACAAGAGTCATTCAAATGGTCGACTGTATATACCATAACTGTATTAACATTCTGAAAGGGAAAATTGAAGGGGATGTCGATAGATTCCGAAAAACAGAAAATTAATATCATATATTACTTAATGTTATATATAAAAATGATTGATCAGTGGAAATATTCGTGAACGTGAAAGAAAAATTCAACATTTTAATTAAGCGTTTAAAATATTACGTTATGTAACAACTTCTTAAGTACTCATTCCACCAGACCAAATAATGATAGCAGCTAGTTCCGTTGGCTTTTACAAATTTGGTACGAACTCCATGAATAGTTATTTTATACTAGTTATAGTGATGTTTTTTTTCAAATTGTTCTTATTTGAGTATAAAAGTTGCGTAATGTGTAATAACGTGATGATGTAATGTATGGTAATTATTTAATGGAATCCCATACGTTTATCAGATTATTAAATCATAAGCGAAAGGCATTTTCATCATTTTTCTTCTACCATCATTATCCTTGGTTTATTTTAAAGTGTTTTTTTGCAGATAGTTAAAAATTACTGTAAGGAATCAATCTGTCTGATAGTTGGAAAGATTGTGCAACTAAAATAAACATTACTCAATAACTTAAATTAGATCTTATTTATTTATTTATTTTACCACATAGATATTGGTACAAGGAGGCACCAAATACATATGCGCCACACAAATCTCATTTGATATGTGTGAGGGCCGTGATACTGCCCGGGTGCCCGAACCGAAGTAGGTGGTTTTCTTAGGGGGCCACACCCGGAGAATTTGACCTGAAGGTCTGATCCACAAAGCAGTGGAGCAACGTAAAGAGATGCAGTCCCATTGTAGCCGGTGACCAACGATTGCTTCATACGCCATTTGTTCCTTCAGAATACTGGAACCCATATGCACCATTGGTTTGGAATCAGGGTTTTCCAACTCCCCTAGGTGGATTCTCCATGTCCATCAACCCGGATAAAGCGCCGGACATTCGCTTTGCGTCCTCTCAGTTTCGTAAACAACACCCGTGATGCGAGAAGACAGTGAGTAGGACTTCCATGGCAGAGGCTATATACGCGTGGCCATGTGAGAGCATTTTGAGAGTAAGAGTTGACTCCCACCACTCTCGGCCGTACCAGGGCATTTGGGGGAAAATTAAATCTATTGAAAAAGAGTTTGGAGTTGAAACCTTACAGTTAAATAAATAGTTTTTTCATCTCAATAAGCCACATAATATTCTGTTTCTTTGTTACCGTTCGATCAAAGTTCAATTTTCGGTATTTTTAAATAGCTTCATTTACTTCTAGTCAAGATGCGCGTCTATTTTTTTTTCTTTCATTTTAATTAGGAAACGAACATTGTTTATTTTGACATTTCGTTGATTTCCTGCTATCCACTATTATGTCATTACTGTTATTTCAGCTTGAAAATTTTATATACCGGCTTATTTATTGTGATTGACACAAAGTTTGACATTTGACACTAAAAGTTCAAATTATATTAATTCATCAACTTACGTTGCTGATCATTATTGTAGTTATAAACATGTGGTCAGACCTTTTTATGTAACCTGGTCATAGTGATTCGTGTATACATGTATTCATTTAATATAAGCTTGTATTATCTTATGTGCACACAGTTTACCCTGTATATTGTTCACTATATTCACGTGTTAGTGATCTGAGTGAAGTATATACATACATGTTCACACGCACAGAGAAAATTCATGTGTCTCAGGTCGATTAAGTAATTTGTCAATAATCAAGCGAAACTGTTTGCTTGTAACTAAAACATTTCTCTTCTTTGTTTACTGAATATTCTTTAGGCTAGTCGTAATGCTGAAATGAAATTACCTGAAATATTATCAGACGATGAATTTTCAGATAAAATATCTTGTAATTCACTTACTTCATCATCCAACGAAAGTAAGTTTTATTGATTGATAAAATTCTATATTTTCTTCAAACAGTAACATCATCTTTAACTGAAGAAACAGATGTATCACAACAATTAAAAGAGAATTCATCAAAGTTTAACCCTCACCAACCACAAATCATGTAAGTCACAGTATTTTTTCTCATCATTTATACCTTTTGTTTTAATTGATAGGGAGTGAAGTAGTTGAGCGTGTCGACAGCTTTACTTATCTTTTGAGTCCCACCAACCCTTGTGATTTCGTGTGTGACGAAATCTCAGCACGGATACAAAAGGTTCGACTAGCTTTTGCCAACTTGCATCATTTATGGCGTAGGCGAGATATCCGTTTACCAACCAAAGGATGGGTTTATTGCTCAGCAATTCGTTCCATCCTACTTTATGGCTGTGTAAAATGGCCGGTAAGAGTAGAGGATGTTCGTTGGTTACTAGAATTCGATCACCGACTGCCCCAACGAGCGAGGTTTTATAGTGTAGGAGTAGGTTGTAAGAAAGCTAGAGGTGGCCAGACCAAAACATGGCACAAATCCATAAAGGCAATGGCAAGTGGATTTAGCCATGTTGGTAGGTTATAGACTACCTGGTTGGCATCCGTGAGACGATAGCAACCGATGGTTAGAGACCCTGAATGATATGGCTCAAAGTCGTTTGCAACGGTGCAGGTGTATCTACTCTTTGTGTTCTCCCATATTCTAATCTTCTGAATTCTTCATGTCCCTTTTTTCTCTTCTTAAATTTATTTCATTGGATTATACTCCTTGAATAACATCTTCAAACCCTAGCCTTTCTGATTATTGTTTATACTTTAACTACCTCTACCACTATGGGATTTGAATCGACAATTGTATCTGTGTGCTAATATGGTATGACAACTTGAACTGATGTACGTACGTACATACGACGTTCTACGTTGTTGTTGACTGACTGACTAACTTGGTTTTAGTAAATTAACTTATTTGTACTTAGAATACTAAATATTGCAATGAACTATATGTCAAAATTTCAAGATCCAACCGTTGATCAAACTTAGTTCATCATTAAGTATTTATTTAAATATCCTAACAATCTTATCAACAATTGGATTGTATAAATAACTCTGTAGATTTTTTCCTCATATAATACTATAACTATAATCTAAGTATTTCTAATTTTATAGTCCCACCATACTCTTGTGATGGTTCGAAAATATATTTAGTAAAATAATCCTTATTGCTATAATCAGTAAAGTATCATTTTAGATTTAATAAATACAAGCTAACATGGACTGAATTTAATGAAAAGCTGAAATGTTCACAAAATAATTTGAATGAGTATGTATGTAATTATTTTTGTAATTATTCTTAAACTTATTGAGCTTATCTGACCGGAAGTTTTTTCACTATATTAGACTAACTAGAAATAATTATTCATTAATTTAATTATAAAATGGGTATTCTAGAATGTTATACAATCGAGTAATTGAGAATTAACTATCTATCAGAACTGTAGTTAATTTTTCTATATTGGTACACAATTTATTATTCAAAACTGGTTTTAATTGTTTTATAATTTTTCTTTTCGACTGTTAATATTTACTTTCGACGTCTTATAGTATTACCAGTGACGAAACAGATGATGAAGAAATACGTGATAACCATATCTCTACAGTAACTCAAGAAAGAGAAATTTACACAACTCTACCTATCGTGGAAGCTACTAATATACTACCTATCCTAAGTCTTTTAAAAGCAAATGATTATTTAGTATGGGGTGATCGAAATTCTGTAAGTATCAAATAGTTCATTATTATTATTATCATCATAACTATATTTATTGTTATTACTCACTATATACATAAAGGAACTGAATGAGAAGTTTTCTTTCTCTTGAATAAATAATAATGTAAATGATATCTCTTATATATTAATAATTATTCAAATGATGTTCAAATAACTATTGAGAATATTCGTACCTTTGTTTCATCAATAATGAATAAGTTATTATCAGAAGAGTTTTTGTGGAGATTTTAGAAATTTTATTGATTGAAATCATGAGTCAATTGAAGCTAGACCACTATGGAAAACCTGGAAGCACTGGACAGCCGTTTCGTCCTAGTATGAGACTCCTCAGTGGAGTTCAACCAAGTCTGTTGTGAGGTATCAACTCACTCAAGACAATGGTGTACGGTGGCGCAACTTCGTGGATTGGTTAGACATTAACACCGTTGGATGCCGACTCAGTGGTCTAATTGGTTAAACGCCTAGCGCGAGACTGATAGGTCCTGGAGTCGAAACTCGCGGGGCGCGGGATCGTGGATGCGCACTACTGAGGAGTCCCATACTAGGACGAAATGGCTGTCCAGTGCTCCCGGGTTTTCCATGGTGGTCTAGCTACAATTGACTCGTGATTTCAATCAGTGAAAAAGTTTTTATCATTCACTTCAAACATTGGTTGATTCAACTGAACATTGAATCACATCTTCTTAACCTTTAGAATTAACCCATAAGTGTTTGTTTTCTAACAAAATATTTCTGAAAACAATTAAATGATTACTCCCGTTAAAACTAACCAGTTGTTGTTATCATGCTTCAAAGTATTCATCATAATGGTTACTGACTACATTTTCATGATTAAATCCATCTTTCTTCCAAATTCCAATTATCCTTCGATGTTTTAGAATATAAATTATTTATATTTCTCTTTTCTTGACGTTAAAAGTGCATTGTGTTTTTTTTAAAAAAACTTTTTTTTTACTTATTTCATTCGCTTAAAATTGTTGATGCGACTTACGATTACACTTTTTTCTTTCATTTTCATTCTCTCTAATAAGTTAGTCCATTAATGTTGACCATAATATCTTTAGGACATTAACTAGCTGATAATCTAAACTTTGATAACCAGGTAAAAGATTGAATCGATTGTTCACTAACTGAAAAGTCATCCTACATTATATTGATTTAGTTTTGTAGTTTACTTAAAAGAAATATATAGTTTTATGAAGATTTCTTTTTTCTTTTTAACTATAGTGAAGCGATTAGTTTATTATTCAATGTAATTTATTTAATAAATCACTCATACATGTAAGAAATAGCTGACATAACTTATTTCTATTTTTTGAAATTAGCTCATTACATTTTATCATTCACTAAACGTTAATTACATAATATCATAGTGATTGAATAAAAAAAACCTTAGTAAAAATGTTGCATTTGAATTAATCCTGATTAGTCATGTTGATAATTATTTCGTAAAATTTCATTACAAAAAACATTCTCCTGTAGTGTTGGTTATTATGTTAAGCCCATATAACTTATTCTGGCTTTCGAACAGGCAAATCTACTCATTCTGTGGTGAACAGAACATGGGCGGGGACAATCGAATTATATTTGGCACAAAATTACAGAGTTAATTGGTAAAATAGAAAAACCATACAATAATACTTAATTTGCAAAATGTTCAATAATTGTCTCGAACTTCGTTGTTCTTGCATTTCCATACTAATTGCTTTCTATTCCCGTTCTTCCTTTCTTGATCTTCCCCATCTTCTGCTGCCAGATATTACATTCCTGGCTCGCGTTATATACTACTTATATCAATATAAGTAGCACGCATCACAATTCTACTTCAGTCATATTTTGACTTTGTTGATTATTCGCTTATCAACCTTGACTGTTTTTGTATGAGTGTATGTGTGTGTACATTTCTTATCCTATTCATCACATGTCTGTAACTTATTTTTGTGTAACTATAAATATTGATTAACGCTTTACTAAAGGGAATTCGCTTACCCGCCATCTTCACTGCGTGCCGTTTCGCTTCGTATAAAAAATATATGTATTCAAAAGTCCATTCTCGTTATTTGAACTATTTAATTCCGTTATTGACTAACTCGATTTAAGTCGATGATTATGTACGAGAATAGGCGACATATACATTTCGACAACAATCATTCATAAAATCTACTTGAAGTCAGATCTCGGGCCACTAAAGTGGAGAGCCCGTCAACAAACATCGTCCGATCTAAATGACGAAAAAATAAAGGGTCCCACTAAACTCCTAATGGTTGAGACGATAAACTTTTAACCGTTTAATAACAAGCTCCCTATCCTTCTACATCTATTTCTGTTTCGAAGGCTAGCTGAATGTTTTTACTAGTCTCCAAATATAAAGTATAACTCTAACCCAATCACATAAAGACTTTTTTAATGTCGGTATCTTATTTCTCCAACAGTTATTCATTTAAACATTCTTATATTTGCTGCTTTTACTGTATCTTCATTTCATTTAGTAAATTTCATTTTTAAAATGTGCAAATATTTGTTCTTTATATATTTTATTTTCTTAGCTAAATGATATTTCTGTACATGCTGGATGTATTGATGCTTTAATAGTATATATAACATCATATGGCCGTATGTCACCATCATGTAAGTTAATTTGTGTGTTTGTTTGTTTTTCATTGTTTCCAAAGTTATTTTTATTTGAGCCCTAGAGTAGTGATTTCATTTTCAATTTATAAGATAGATAATTAAAATTGAGTCAGTAATCTAAAGTTATTATGCTCGTTGCGAGACTTCAAAACCGCAAGTTTGATCCTTGAATGAATCGTACGTTTACAATTTAAAGTAATCTCAAAATAGATCGAGGAGTCATTTAATGCTCTCTTATTTCCAAAGATTTAATGATAATTTAGGGTTGTTTCAGATTATGGTCCAACCTAACTTTGGAAACAATATATCTTTCTCTATCTCTGATCTATATATAAAAAAGTAGTTATATGGAATTTATTTTTGATTAGTATCAGTTGCAAATCCATTGACGATTGTCTTCGGAAGACTGACTATAGTGTAATCGTAATATATATCCTGTCAGTTTAGTTTACTTTCATAACGAATGTCATTTCTCCATTACCGTAACAAATGTCAATAAATAAAACGCATGACATAATATCTCGATTATATGAATTTAGCATTGTACCAAGTCTCCAATAACTGTAAAAAATATCCCAATAAACTACTAACCGTAGTGTTCGTATTTTTCTTGTTGTTAGTGTCAACTGTTTAGTACGATAGATACTTTGCTCGTCTAGTATCATTGTGAACATCAATACTGAGATCCAGGTACAGTTGACTAATAATTTTAGCACATGAAAAAAAACACAGGTTTTACATTTTCCTACTAATCACTATCAGGGATGTTATTTTCAAAATCAATGTTTCTGTATTTTGTTTTCAACAAAAAAATGAGGTTTTTACATTGTCGTTCCTTTATTGTTTGTTTGTCCGTTCTTTTCTTTTTTCTTTTATGACAGATTATTTATTTTTCGAAACATTTCTTTTTATGTATCGTTCATTTATGACATCTGATGAATTAGTGAATCGTTTGATAACGCGTTATCATTACTTTAGCCATCCTCCACGTTATTTATCACATTTGACAAATTTATCTCATGAGACCAGATCTAAAGTCTGTACGTCTACTGTGTCAATTTTAGTGACTGTGGTAAGATTTCGTTTTTGATTATTAGTTTGATATTACATTGATTTATAGCTCTATAATCTTATTGTAAATGTTTTTTGTAGTGATTATTTACGGGATGCTCGAAGTTTTCCCGAAATCTAAGTATTTGTAACCTGATCACACTTTCTATGAATAAACTAAGTTTATAGTATTTTAATTTCTATATTTCATCCCCCTCACATTTTGTATCTTTTAAAGTCATGTTACATTAACTTACCTCTGTCATGCATATATCTGGTCATCAAATTATCTCAATTATCTCTTCATAATAACTGATGACTTACAATTATATCAGACCGTGGTATTTTAGTATCTACGTCTAAATCATCATACTATTGATAGTGTACCAAAGAATACATATCATTTGTGTGTAATGCAATAGAAGTTAAGAGTTTTAAAACGGGTTCTTCTTATAATTATTTAAGGTAATAGTCCTAGAATATTAGGTTAATTTTATTACAATCTAACACAAATGTAAGTTTAGAAATAAAAATAGGATGCGTGAATCCTCCACACTAGGTTGTGATCATATTTAACACAAAAAAGATAGGTTAAATTATTACCAAAGCAATTGAAGGTTAACTACTTATTTTTTTAGGTATAAAAGTTAAGTTGAAACCTAATTGCCATGGCTTCTACTAAATTCAATAACGTGGAATTGGACGTTTAATTGAAAACTTTGAATCAATTCATTACATCAAATTTGTGCCCCTTGTCTAGTGGATGACATGCTACTAAACTATGTAGGCAATTATCTCCTCGAAGGCGTAGATTTTTTGGAATATGCCCATGAAAACGTGAATTGTTTTTTTTAGCGAGTTAGTTTTCTGCGGGATGGGGTCGCTAACCCCACGCCCACCCTCCTCCTTTATCCGGGCTTGAGATCTGCTGTATCCCAAAAAGGGCTTCACGCGGAGTAGATTATCTAAGTAGTTGGAGTTGTATGCACATTTAAAGTAATATATGCAATTCAAGGTAACATACTGAAGTCAATTATATGGAAGCCATCTTTTCATTAATTTTCCAGTGTGAATTTAATGTTGATATTCACTGTATTGAAAGATTCGAGTATTTTGTTTGGATAACTTACGCCGCTAAGTTAAACTAAAATATCATCGGTATTCCGTACATAAAGTGTAATCTCGTTGATAACAGTATGTAATATTTTATTTCCAAATTTTCAAGAAATATATCGTCAAGGTTTTAACCAAAGGATTGCTTGATAGCATAATTTATTATTACATTGGAACTGAACGTTCTTAGTTTATATCCTTAATAACTGTGCGATCTGTGTGTATGATGTGCATATACTTTATGAGTAATTGCTAGTGATGTCAGTTGTTTCCTTCTAAGAGATAATGGTTAAAGTTAACGATATGCCATATAAAACTATTAGCTTGTTCGATGTATTAATATGACGTATTACTTCAGTAAAATCAATTTTATACGATCAGTTTTTTTACAAATCGATCCCAGTTTCATGCAGTTAATTCCCTTTATGAATTTAAATAAAGCAAGAAAAAATATTATGAATTCATACTATTCTGCATCAATATTTGATCCCAGTTTGTTAGCTGACCGTTGGTCCAGTTCGTTGCAGAGAACATTAATCTTCTTTATGATTGGTCTCATTTGTAGATTAGATTTGCGTAATTCGGCCTGCTGATATATGAGTGATTGGCATACTCCAAGTGATTCATCTCAAATAATTACAAGAAAAACCTCTTTCAAAACTTTAACTCTTAAAGTGTGTCATATTACACACAAATGATTGATTAATAATTCACTTTTAAATATTATTCCATTAAATGGAAATAAGAAAACATATAACTCTGTATGTAGTTGAAAGTAAAGCAGTTAAATACAATGAATGGATCGTATTCTGAAAATATTATCGTTCTTACTTTGTTTAGATTTATGAAGGCAATCAATTGTATAAACCTTTTTCTTTGTTTTTTTTTCTGAATTACTTCTCTCTTGATTGCAATTTCATAGTATATTAAATGGAAATTATTGAATATTTTATCCATATTTCATTCCCTTTTAAGTTTGGTCTTAGTTAAATTGTTTGCTTGGTTTTGTCTCATTTCAAAACTAGGTTACACGATTAAGACATGATTTAAATGATAAATTGCTAGAAATTCTTCAAAATTTCGAAGAAACTCTTTCACAAGACGAATATAAATCACTCAGTCGAATTTTACACATTACAATTTTTCGTCAGTCACAGGAAAACTTACAAATTCATTCTAACTCAATAAACACTGAGTTAATCAATAATAATATGCGTAAATCTGATTCATTTCTATCAAATAGTGGTCGAACCTCATCACTAGGCGATGTATCATCCGATCAATCCATGTTAAATAGAATTAATGAAACAGATCAATGCGCTGAATATAATGAAAATGTTGGATTTATTACATTACCAAAGACTAAATCTAGACGATCACATGCTTTGGAAAATGTTGATCGTTATTCAGTTATTGAATCGACAGAAAATGATTATGTCAATCCTTCTTCTGCGATAAATTCACTTCCAACTAAAAGAATCTTGTTGAGTACATCAAAAAGTAGTCTTGGCCTATTGAATTTTCCTGCAAAATCTTTAGCTGAACAACTTACCTATTTAGAATGTTTAAATTATTATAAAATTAATGTAAGAAACATTTTTTTTCGTTTATTTCGTGTTTTTATTTGTTTTAATTTGATTTTGATAAAATGAAGATTATTTGATTCATTATCGTATTACAAATAATGGTCTGTGTATTGTTATTTTTTAGTTCTTTGGATGTCAGAAAACTTACAATACTTACTACTATTAGTAGTAGTAGTAATAGTATTCTTTTAAGATTAATATTAGTGTTAATTCAAAGATTTTTTAATATAAGTTACCAACAGTCAGTGCTGGCTTCAACTTTTTGCATGATGATACATGCTAATTGTATACCGGACAACTTGGTCTGAAGTATGCGGAGATTCATTATCATAAGAACTCTTAGTTACAAATTTATGATTAACTCTTTCTAACCATACAGTTTTTACTAAATGTGGGCACTCCATTGTTCTGTGGTTTTAAGTGTTACACATGCACAACGCTTGTGTACTACGATTGAGATGTACAAATATGGTTACGCGGGTTTGTGTTTAGAACAAAGTATGACATTAATCCACTAGTAGGATTAACTAGATGACGATCTACAACATCAGATTCGATTTCTTTCTAATAGTCGGTCAGTTTTTAATAGTATGAACACAATATTATTACTTGGCGAAAATTCAAGCTCGACTCTCTGTTTCCTTTAATTTTCAGGTTTTTGAACTGCTTGATATTTCAAAACTAGAGCAAGGTAAAGCACCTGGTGTAGCCGCTTGTGCACATCATTTTACAATGCTTTCTAACTGGGCCACTTATCAAATTTTATCCTTGACAAGTGCATCTGATCGTGATAAGGTTGCAAATCGTTTATTGGATGTTATGGAAGTAAGTCGTTATTTAGCCTTATAATAGCTTTCAGTTTTCATTTTTGCCTAGAAATCAGTTTTAAAAAATCTCAGACAACACTAAACACTTGTCAATAAAATAGTTTTTTGTAGCGTGTAATATTTATCACTCTCCAGAATCTTTTATTGATTGTTCCCAGTACCTTACTACAAATAGTGTCTTTAAAAAATTAATGATCGATCTACTAATTGTAATTATAGTGCCGTTTACATTTGACACCATAAATTATTCATCAAATATATATTGTAAATTAGCATTACCTTGGTTTTTAATTTTTCTGTCTTCTAGCACTTGTACAAACTCCAAAATTTTAGTTCCTACCTGTCTTTACTTTGTGCATTTCTCCTAGTACCAGAAGCTTTGTTTTCTCGAAAAACACTCAGTGTAAGTCAGCTTGTTGATAAATTTCTTCTTTATATGTTACATGTTCAATATTATTTTTGTAGTTTATAAGAATTTGTATGAAGATTTATCCTAACACTTTTAAGAAAGTTAGGTGTCGATTCAATGAGCGATATTCGATGCATAAAGAGTTCGTTATTACCTTGAAGAACCTCGATTTAGACTCGTTGATAAAACATTGGAACCGTTTATTTTCAACGATGAAAATTTCTCAAATATAATATTATATCTGTTTATCATTAGGATTTTATCTCTTATTGTGTTCCATATATTCACTCAACCGATATTTTCAGTAATCGCTAAACTTTAAATTCAAGTGATATATAATTCTTGAAATATATTTCCATTGTTTACTGTCTATTACGTGATTTGGCTGAAAAGAAATTGATCATGATGAGGTATAAATTATGTTCGACAATTTTATTAAAGGAAAGCATCATAACAGAGTTACTGAATTTTACATTGAACTAATTTCCTTGTCTATTATGAAAGATACCATTTCAATTAATGCAATTCTTTATGTCATAGTCAGTCAGTCAGCTACAACGTAGGACCAGGCACATATATGCATCGATCCAAGTTGCCATACCTCATTAACGCAACACCGAATTCATAGAAGTAGTTACTTCGATGGTAGTAATATATTAAAGAAAGATTGTGTATAGAAAGAAAGAATTAGTTGGTAGAAAGAAAGATATAGAGCAATTTTAATCTCACAGTTTAAGGTAAAACAGTGTTTATACACCTACGCCATTGTGATCAATTCTGAGCCATGTCACCCAGAGTCTCCAACCATTGGTTACAATGGTCGTACGAACCTCAACCAAGTAGGCTGCATCTACCAACATGGCTCAGATCAGAAATTTGTGACTTTATGAACCGATGCCAAGTTTTGGTTTGACCGCCCTTAACTATCTCCCAACCGTCTCCAACACTAGTCAGCATTGCACACCATGGTTATTTTATTTTATTTAAACACATAAACATAGGTACAAAAAGGCACCTAATAGATGTGCGCCACATAAATCATCCAATTTGTGTGAGGGCTAGGATACTGCCCGGGTGCCCAAACCGGAGCAGGTGGTTTTCTTAGGGGGGCCACACCCCGAACATTCGACATAGAGGTTTAACCCACAAGGCAGTGGAGCAACGTAAGGAGATGCAGTCCTGTGGTATCCAGTGACCAAAAATTGGTTCATACAACTTTCGTTCCCTCGGAATCCTGGGGCCCATGTGCACCGGTGGTTTGGAACCAAGGTTTTCCAACCCCCCTAGATGTGCCCTCCTTGTCCACCAACCGGGTTAAAGCGCCAGACATTCGCCTCCCATCCTCTCCATTTTGAAAACAACACCCCAGCCACGAGAAGGCAGTGAGTAGGACTTCCCTCGCAGAGGCTATATACACGTGGCCATGTGAGAGCATTTCGAGAGGGAGAGTTGACTCTCCCAACTCTTGGCCCGTACCAGGGCATTTGGAGGCCACCCCGTTGTAATCGGTGGCTTTATATTATAATTCCTTCTCTATCAAAAAGATTACATAAATTTCTTCACATTACTCCTCTCAATAGCTAATACTTTTTTATGATTACCCACCTTTTTACAAAATGCACATACTCTATATATATACATATTTAATTATCACGTTTCTGTCCTTTTTTGTGTATGTATTTTTGTGTCATAGCGTCTTAGTCGGGTTACGCCGTACATGCAACCGCCTTACTTTTCAAAATATCGTCGTGACTTAGAAGCAGCCAGTCCACCATTAATACCATATTTAGGTTTAATGCTGCAGAATTTAATTGTCCTAGATCAGGGTAATCCATTGTTTTTAAAGACTCTTCCAAGTCAATTAGTTGGTAAATATCAATCATGTCATGGCCCTATTATAAACTTTTGGCGATGTTGGAAACATTTTCTGATCATACACGTTTTTGTCAAACAAGAGAAAATGGATCCTGAAAAATCGTAAGCGATCACTGTTTGTTTGTTCTATTTTAGACATAATAATATAATTATTAAATAAGATTCACACGCATACAAATGTAATAGTATTGTACAATCACCATTAGACTGACCGTGACTTCATTGCTAGAAAATAGCTGGATATTAATTTTGATATTGTAACTTATTGTAAATTACATACTGTTATACTGATTATATGTAATCAACTCGGTAGAATGACAGATTTCAGTGAGAAACAAAATCTTTGGGCTCATTAACTAATATACCCTCTGAAATTTATACTTTGGCTGGAACTCCTTATTAGGTTAAACGAATAATTATCTGGATAATTACCCTGACTAGCAAGCTATTATAAACCAGTTATCATTGAAAATCTGCTTCCTTCTAGTAGTAGATTACCCTGTACAGCCCACTCACCACTTATGACCATCATGTCTTTCAGCTCGTCAGTTACTTTTAGACTACTATGTTTGCACTCGATAATGCTTCGTTTTCTTGCTTTTATCTAACTATCTTTAAATCTGCTATTTTGACCGAACCTTTCACCCTGATAATAAGCACGTAGCTAGCGTTTGAAGTCGAATAAGTACTAATAAAATCCTTTAGTGGCCCGAGATCTGGCTCCATTTGGATTGTTTAACGATTGTGGTTGAAATATACATATCGCAAATCCTCGCTTATAAATATTGACTTAAATCGCGTTAGTGAATAACGGAATTGATATAAGTCAAATACGAGAATGTATTTTTGAGAACGTATATTTTGTATAATCGTTGATCGGAAGGCGAAGCAAGACAAAACGACACGCAGTGGAGAAGGCGAGTGAGCAAACTCAATTTAACCAAGCGGAAATCGATATTGATAGTTACACAAAATTAATTTACAGGTATGTGATGAGTAAAATAAGAAATGCACGTAAATACGCTCTTATAAAAACAATCAAGGTTAATAAGCCAATAAGTGACAAGGTCAAAATGCAGCTTAAGAAGAATGGATAAGTTGGTTTGTCCAGAAGCTAGAATAACTTATGCGGGCTTGACATAGGACCAACCACTACAATCTCTTTGGCCATTTATTTGAGCACATTTTCTCGTCGAATTTTTTCTCCACTTCTTCATAATTGTTTCAATAACTTCATCATTCTACCATGCTATTGTTATCGTTGCTTTCAGTATGCTGAAGTTGCTTAAATGTTGTTTGTTTACTTGATCATCGGTATCCTACTAGAATTAGTTTGAAGATGTGTGCTAATAGCTGATTATTAATACACGGTTAATCAACTTAGAAATGCTTTAAAAAGAAGGGGTTTTTAAGAGGTAATAAACTAGAGGAAAATGCTTCTCTTGAAGATGTGCATTCAGTTGAAAAAAATTTAAAATTCAAATGAATCTCAGTAGTCAATGTTAGTTAATAACAAAAATATCTGAGGAAAGATGGAAACAATTTGAGATCACAAAAACAAATTTATATTTCATTGACATACATTCATAAACTTAACAGAATTTTGAAGATAATTCTTTGGATGAGTTGTCACATACTGTTTGCAACAAACATAGTCGTCACATGTATTCTCTGTTATATGATGTTATTCATAAGTGTTATTTGTCAATAATTTCCCATAAAGCCCTTAAAATATCTTCAAAAGGCTAAAAATCTCTTTATTTCATTCAATACCTTCGGTAAATTCTGAGTGTCGATGTACCTATCTTGTCCTTCGATCTGATAACGTGAACATACAGACTATTTATTTTAGCATGTTTTCTCAATATTCTCAACCACTAAATAGCTTATTACCAAATTAATACCTAATAGATCCTCTACGTAGAACAACCTTGGAGTAATGCTTTGACTGTATTACCATCTTCATTGTTTACTGTTGAGGATTGGTAAAGCAGTTGTTTTCTAAAAGTTTGTTAGAAATACAAGCTCACTTATATATATATTATATATATAAATCGAATGGTGTATTTTCTTATTGTTTCTTATTCCTATCAAATATATAGTCGTTATTCGATCCGTCCTGATATGAAAATCTTACAATTTCTTGGCAATTTTAAAAATTCTTTACCTGAATCAGAATTACGTTCCTTAGCTAATCGTTTACGTCGAAGTATTTCATAATTTCATCATTTAATTATATTACAACATTTATGTAACCTATTGTTTGTTACTAATCAGCTCATGTGTATAAAATAACCTATAATATGTACAATAATACCATTGTTTTAATGTATCATTTTACTCTCTTTTTTTTTAAAAAAAAATGCATATTTTGAGGTAATTTTTAATTGTAAATTTCAAGATTTTTTGTTGCTTATCATAATATCATTCATACTTTAGATTATTGTTATCAGTCTTTATTTTAAATATATAATGAATATCTATTGTATACTACTCAAATCTTATTATTGAATAACTAATATTTGTTTACATTTAAGAGATTGGCTGTGTTATTTGTATACCTTTCTTGAAAAACAAAAAGACAAAACAATGACAATCACATATATTTCTCTCAGATGAGTTCCTCTATATATTATATATTGTGTTGTATAGAAAAGAATATATATATATATATATATATATATATATATATATAATTACGTTTCGGTGCATTACATCATCATTACTATTATTTTTACTCATTATTATACTGCTCAAAATTTGTAAATATTTCTCCATTGTTGAAATGTGTTATTTTTTGTCAATTCATATGTACTTTAAAACCTATTAACTTTGTTCTTTTTTTATCATGAATATGTACAAACATTCACGTTGTTCCATAGTGGCAATATTATCTTTTCCTACTGTAGATTTTTACGGTAAAAAAAAATCGTTCCTTCTGTTTATTACCTCGTCAACTAATGTATCATTAGTTTTTATCATAATATACTTATTTTATTATTATAATGATGATTATTGTTCATATATTTTGTTCATATTTCTTCTATTATTTATACCATAGATTTCTTTCTCAAAAAAGATTGTTGTAGTTAAAAATTTATTATTTTTATTGTTTGTTTTCTTAATAAAATGACTTCAATTATTTTATTGATGCTAGTAGATAAGTAATGATTTTGGTCAGTTAAGGATGCTTTAATGTTAATACAACTTCTGATGCTATCAATACTACTACTACTACTACCACTACTACTATTACTAATAGTGGTGATAAGAGATCTAACGACAGTTGTTATTCATGTCATAATGCAATTATTCCTTATATCTTTATAAGAAAATAAACATTTACATTGATTTTATTTTATATGATAATATAATCCAAACAAATACTTACACACACTTTTGTTTCGTCTTCGAGATAAAACGGTTCCTTTTTTTATCCTTTTTTTCAAAACAACAAAAAAAACAAAAAGATAATGACATAAACTTTCATGTCACTCAGTTTCACAAAACAAAAAAAAGATTTTTTTTCTCATTTATTCTTAGCAATTTAAAGAAGTCATTCAATATATGTGTATATAAAAACATATTTATCTTAAAAGAAAAAGAAAACTACTATGGTAATAGTTTTTATAATTGATAAAAGTAATTTGACATATTCCCATAATCAATATTTCTGGTAATTTATTCAACCTACATTCTAATTACTGAATTACTACATAAAATACAATTAGATTCAATTAGTCGAATAGAATTGTTGGATTGTGAATTTACTCATCAAATCGGTGAACTATTTATTTCAACAGTTGAGATCATGAGTCATTTGAAGCTAGATTACCATGAAAAGAAACCTGGAAGCACCGGACGATCGTTTCATCTTATTGCGGGACTCCTCAGCAGTGCGCATCCACGACCCCACCCCCCGCGAGATTCGAATCGAGGACCAATCAGTCTCGCGCGCGAGCGCTTAACCAACTAAACCACTGAGCCGGCCGACATCCAACGGTGTTAATGTCTAACTTCAACTAACTCACGAAATTGAGTGATACATCCACCATTGTCTTCAATGAGTTACTACCTCACAACTGACCCGTTTGAGCTCAATAGACGAAACGGTCGTCCAGTGCTTCCAGGTTTTCCATGGTGGTCTAGTTTCAATTGACTCATGATCTCAACTGTTGAAATTACTACAATCTCCCCAAAAAAACCCTTCTGAAACTATTTATTTCACTTTGGTTTGTCATTAAGCATAAAGTAAATTATATTTGTTGTCACCTGACCAAATTTAGATTTATTTGATTATATTTAAAAAATGATAAACGTTTCGGGTTTCCTATGTGTTAATACTTAGATGAAATTCAATAATTAAACATTTCATAGTTAGGGTTATGGAATTTATCAGCACTAAATATGAAATAAATGTATCAATAGTATTTTGATACATTTTATCATATGTTCACACAGTTTTATAGTCTATATCCAATCAATTAAGAGTTGACCCTTTCAAATTTATCTTATTCATAGATATGTAACAAACTTAAGGAGGAATACTGAAGTTACAGATCCTACCAGAATAAATAAATAACTTAGATATTTTGTCCGCTTCCATGTATGAAAATATACTTCACAGGCGTAGAATTTTAAATCAAGTCATTACTAAAGTATAACAACTAGAGAGTGCTATATTAATGTGAAAAATCACGAGTAACCTCTGTGGTATAAAGGAGTAGGTAATATGATTTAAAGAATAATAAGTCAAACATTAAAAAGACACGATTAGTCGAATGAAAGCTTTATTCACTAGACTTCTAGAAATGGAATTTATTTGACCGAATTCTTTAGTTATGAAACTTAGCAAAGTCTGTCTTATTCGTAAGTCGATTACAGTTTGTTTTGTTGTTGGTATATCTACTGTTTGAATCTCTCTCAAGGAGATTCTGATCTACTTTTAATTGCAGTACTTAATATAGCCAGGAAAATTCATTGTGGCAGATGTATCCTTTCACGTAGCTGCTTGTGTCGAGAAATTATTTATGCGGGTCTAACAACTATTAGACTGTATATACTTTGATATCTCTTATTATTATGCGGCAAATCTGTTTGCGAATTTACCTGTCGTTTACTGCATGGATGAGTAAATTAACATACAGATTGTCATTGGAACGTTGTAGATGCAATCCAAAGTAAACAAATCAGTGATTTTAGATAAGCACTCTGTTCTTGTTCCTACTGCTAGGTTGTTTTTGAATAACTCAGGCGGATAGTGATTGATCTTCAATACTTTTAAAGTTAGGTCACTACCGATATCTTGAAGTTTTGTGTTCAATCTCATTTAGTATGATTAGTGCGTTGTGCTAAAAAAAATCCCAAAGTAGACCAAAGAATCTCATTAATGTTGCGCGGTTTTTCAGTTGTTTTTAACTCTTTATCTTATATAACCGGTATAAATAAAGAACATATGTTTAGCTGTTAATAAAACTCAAAAAGCAAGGAAGAAATTCATGCGAGACTATAATTTATAGACGAATTAATCAGGTATAAGATAACAGGTCTCGGATTTTGGCGCGAAATTCACTCATCCATTTGGTTAAATATAGTTTTGCCATTATAACTGATGTCAGTTCGTGATGAAAACCCTAAGTCTAATTCCTAACATTAACTATCAACTAAAAATCATAATTCTAATTCCTCACACTGCTTTATAACCCTCATTTGATCTTAGTTATTAGGTGGACACTCTCAAGGTCACCTTAGCGTCGCTCACATGTCCATAAATTATAGTCTCACCGAAATTCATCCTTCTGAAGAAACGTTATCAAGTTTATATGAATTGAAAGTTTGTACATATATATAACTACCTTCTGTTCAGTCAAGAGATAAGGAAACCTAATTTTCTTTTAGCTTATTTAATAAAAATCATTCATAAACATGATTTCCACATTTTATCCTGAACGGAATCAGTGTTTACATATGCTTTCCATCTTCATTTAATATAGTAGTTGAAAGGAAGTGTTACGAGTGAAGAAAAAAAGAGGAGAAAGATGAAGTGTTCATTTCAGACAAGAAAAAACTAGTTGATAGCAATGCTAATTTGAAAATGAGGAAAATAATATCAAAAACCATTTACGTTTTGGAATTATTTAAACAAATGAAATAAATAAACGGTAAACATTAAAAAGGAAGAATGTATCTATAAAATAAAAGTGAATGAATTTGAAGTAAATCCAACGTTTCATCTACCAATCTGGTTCAAGCTTTTTCAAGGAAATATAATCAAACACCAAAATGATCGAATCTAAATAGGTACATGGTTCTCCGGTTCACTCTATATTGAATAGATCATCCAATTAACGTTAACAATGTTTAAATTAGTATGTATGAGATATGTAGTATGAAACGAAAAATGTGTTAAGATAACAGATTGTGTGTATACATAAGTGAGAAGAATGTTAGTTTTGTTTATTAATAAATTTCTTTATACGAAAACTTGATTCAATCTACTAACATTCAATTTATTTATTTGCCAAATAAACTTAAATAGATAATGAACCTATGCATTATAATTGACATTAAGATAGAAAAATATCTCATATCAAAATTACTTTATACAATATGATCTGATTGGGTTTTTTATCTTATATTCATGCTTATCTTAGTAGTTAAGTGATTCATACGTCACCACAACGAATTTAATTATTATATTTCTTTTCCAATCTAATCTTGATCTGCTTGTCTAGTGAAAAGAGTATTTAGCTTACATGCAGAAATATTTTTTAGACAAAATTATGAGTCTGAATCGTATCTATTATTGATTTATTGATAAGGAAATATAAACGATTTATGTTATTTCAGCTGGTCGGCGGCCTATGCTCCATTGGGAGTAACAGGCGTAAGTAAGTGTATTATTTCAGGACTCATTTAAGGCATGCTAAATGAATTCTTGAAATTGGAATGGAATTTTAAGTATTATTATTAAAATTTCGCCCGATAATTTAATGGAACTGAGTAATCGGTAGGTTATTGGTAACAATACCGTAATGTATGAGGACGCAAGTAGAGACAGCCAATGTAATTTAGTACAAATTACAGAATCTCTTGTTAAAATATGTGAACCATACATTGAATACTTCATTTTCCTTTCATATTCTGTATAGTTCTCCCAAGTCATAATTCCTTTCTATTTTTGTTTCAACTCAATCTTCTTAGCCTTCTGCTACGAGGGTTTTCACTTCCAACTGGCGTTGCATACTAATTATATCTGTCGACAAAAGTAGCACACACCACAATACTAATAGTTATAATAGCGAATAATAATTTAGTAATACTCCAAAGACTAAAAATTCAATTTCCAATGCTTCAGAACTGAGGATGAATCTATTTTACAGGGAATAAATCACTTTTTCAGGTTAATACAAGCTTAAATGGCACACGGAACAGATTGGAACACTTAACTACCGCAAAATGATAGGGTGGGAGTCCTCAACAAAACTTTTGTTTTTGTTAGTAGCCACCACATTCAAATCCACCTGTCCCACTAATTAGTTTGGAAATAAGATATTAAAGTTAAGATC